CTTCCTCCGTGTCATTGGGGCAGCTCCAGCGTAGGGCGCTTCTTCGGGCAAATTAGGCTACTGATGGGGCTTTTGGTTACGGATCCATTACTGTAAGGGAGTTCTGGACTCGATCGAGGGGCGTTGCGTGGCGGATGTGTTGTTGGGGCGACCTAGGCTTCGAAGATTCCTCAGGGATCAGTTGTCGCCGAGATTTAGTTTTGAAATAGAAGCCTCGTTTTTTCAGGTCGGTCTGACTCATTCAGCTGCTCGAGAAATATGTTTCTTTATGTATATGCAAGTTGCTATACCTCTGTGGCTTCTTCCGTTACGATCCCCGGATGATTATCACTCGGCGTAATATTCGGGCTTAATCAACGACGCTCTGTTGGGAATATTTGCTACCCTTTTATGTCCCTAGCTTAGTTGAACCTCGCTGCCAAATAGCTAGGAACCATGAGCATGACTCGGTTGCTTTACTCCTGGCATTGTGCCTCTCGTGGCGATAATTAGCGCTGTGTGATAATTAATTTGTGATGACGCCTTCGCTCTAGTCTTTCAGGCTTATAAGGACTATTCCTACTCGGTGGACAAACCACCGAGTACCATCTATAACGTTACTATAATAATGGTTATTAACTCCTAGGAGGGGTTTTAGGTCGATACGATTGCTTTTAAGTGTTTAAAATGCGTGTTAGAGTTACTCTAGGCTCATAACTGTTGGACAATATCCGTAGGGCAGTAGGTAGAGAATATAAGCCGAAAATACAGTCACGAAGCAGTAGGGCCCGAAGTGATAATTTTATAATGCATGTTTTTTATAATTGAAGCTATTCTAAGTACTATATATACTGTTACAGGTGTGCCTATTCGTGGTTCGGATCCTAAAACCCTCCTGGTTACAGTTCGTTCCCTGGAGCTTCAGAATCGAAGCTTTAGAATCGGAAGATCCAGGATCCGGAGGATCACGAAGCTGGCTGACACAGCTTCGGTATCAGGGCCCTGATCCCTGCTTCCGGGCCGAGGATTCAACACGCCCCTTCGGTCCTGAAGCTGGTGATTTTGAGCTCCAATCCTCTAGGCCGAGCTGCCTGAGGAATTCGGCGTGGCGAGCTCCAGAAAGGGGCTTCGTCAGGCCGTCGGCGGCAAGCTTCGTAGTCTCAATATATGAGAACCCGATTCGTTTTTCTTCAACTTCCTGTCTTAGGAAGTGATGTTTAATATCGATATGCTTCGTTCGCTGGTGCAGCTCCGGATTTTCGGTCAGCGCCAGACTTCCTTGGTTATCGCCTTCGATCACGACCGGATCGAGGCCTTCGTTGTATTCTAGGCTTCGAAGTAGGCTTCGAAGCCAGAGTGCTTCTCTAGCAGCATTCGAGAGGCCGTAGTATTCGGCTTCAGTGCTTGACAGTGCCACTGTCTTCTGCCGTCCGGATTTCCAAGTGATAACTCCTCCGTAGAAGTAGAATAGGAACCCAGATGTAGATGATCTAGTATCGATGTCCCCTGCCCAATCCGAATCGGAGCAACCCCAGAACCCCTTTTTGGATGCGTGATATGTGATGCCGAGCCCAATCGTGTGAGCTAGGTATCGCAGGATTCGGTATGCAGCTTTTATATGTGCCTCTGTAGGGTTTGTAAGGTGGCGGCTCAGGAATGAGACTGCGAATGCGACATCGGGTCGGGTTTGGATCATGGCATACATGATCGATCCGATCATCGACTGGAATAGCTTTGTGTCCACTTCTAAGGCCTGCCCAGTGTTCGCAGTAAGCAATTTGGAGGCGTTGGTTTCCATAGGGGTATCCTTTTCAGTAGCGGCTTCCATGCCGAAGACTCTAAGGATCTTTTGGATATAGCTCTTCTGGCTCAAATGGATTGATCGATTCTCTCGATCCCTCGATATTTCGATGCCTAAGAAGGTCTGGCATGGGCCTAAATCCTTCATTGTGAAGCGGCTAGATAATTGATCCTTTAGCTCTTGAATCGCATCGCTGTCAGGTCCCATTATGAGAAAATCGTCGACGTGGGTGGCGACGAATACCCCCTTTTTTGGATGCCGATATATGCAGTCATCTTCTGGCAATGGGTAATACCCAAGCTCTAAGAGCAGCTTCCTAACATTTCTAGCCCATAGTCTCGCGGCCTGTTTTAAACCGTAGAGTCCCTTTTTGAGGCGGCAGGCACGGGAGCCATTCTCATATCCAACTGGCATTTGGATCCAAACAGTTTCTTCGAGGTGACTGTTCAGGAACGCTGTGACTGCGTCCATTTGCTCAATATCCCAATCATAATATGCTGCGAGTGCCATCAGGATCCGGATCGCCGTGCTTTTAGCTACTGAGGCAAAGGTTTGATCATAGTCGACCCCTTTTAATTGCTCAAAGCCTTTGGCTACCCAGCGAGCTTTGAATCGCTCCACGATTCCACATACCCATTTGATGGCAAAGACCCATCGCCCCTTAATAATATGAGTGCCTTCAGGAGGCTCCAATTCGTCCCATGTATCGTTAGCAATGAGGGCGTCATATTCGACTGCCATGACTATTCGCCAGTCATGGCTTTCTGGGCTTGCCATCGCCTGCTTGTAGGTCGTTGGTTCCAGGGTTTTTCGAGGCGATATATGAGCATTGAAAGCTGATACGCTTTCGCAGAGGAATGCCCAATGCCGTTAATCGAGAGCCCAGTGGCTCTGATAATTTCTTTCAAGGCTTCCTTTGCCTTGGAGCTTCGGCGGCTGTCTAATACGCTCTGGGCGTCGATTGACAGTTTCGTCTGCCCCTCGTTGGGCATTTGTCGCAGGCGTTATTAGTCCATGGAGTTGTCGATGAAGCTCTTCGTCAAGGGCTTCAGGGGTTTGACTCCTGGAATTATCATTACTAGGAGCTTGGGTCTCCGCATCGTCATCGCTAGGAGTCGCCCCTGATGTGGGAGGCTCATCTTTTTTCTCAAATATAAGAGTATCGGCTAGATCAGCATCAATCGTTTCGATGGTGATTCTGGTGTCATCTGCTAGTGTTCCAACTTCTTCGAAGACCACAGCAGATGATCGAATGATTCCTTTTTCTAGGTCGTAGATCCTATAAATGGAATTGCCTTCGTATCCGATGAGTATTCCCATGCGAGCTCTGGCGCTAAACTTGGCGCTCCTGGTCCTTTTTTCTTTGTGCAAGTGATAATATGCCTTGCTTCCAATAACTCGTAGATGGGCCATATCTGGCTTTGTAGGCTGCCCTTTAAATTCGCTCATGGCTTCAAAAGGGGTGATTCTAGTGCCCCGAGTAGCAGTTCTGTTAGTGATGTACACGGCCGTTCTCATAATCTCTGGCCATAAGGCCTTTAATTTTATCATCGTTGATCTCGGCAATGTTAAGAGAAGCCTTTAGGGCAATTATTTCTGTGATAATCGTCCTAGTTTTATCGATGATGGTCCTGTTTGATCGTTCAGAGACTCCGTCTTGCTCAGGGGTGTATGGGACTGTGTATTCAATCGTGACCCCCTTTTTTGCGCAGTACGCTATGAGGGCTCCTCCACCATATTCCCGGCCATTATCGAGACGTAAGGCCTTTGGATATTGCCCATATTGGGTATTTATGAGTTCGCAGAATTCAACGATCGCTATATGGGCATCGCCTTTTTTCTGGAGCGGTCTTGCCCATCGAGCTCTAGTGCAATCGTCGGTTTTGATAATGCCCCATTGGGAACCATCGATGCCACGTGGAGTGATTGGGCCGATCACATCGATATGTATCCGATCGAAAGGATGTTCTGCTCGAGCTTGTGGCTTTTTAGACTGGGTCTTGAGCGATTTGGCCATGACACATGAGCAGCAAAGCCCCTTTTCCTGGTCTTTAGTTGTGGATCTAGCCGAATGATCCTCATGGGGGTTTTGAAGAGCGATTCCCGTCGTTGCATCTGCTGTGCGAACAATATTTTCAACTCCAAGATGCCCTAATCGCCGATGCCATAGCTCCATCGATTGTGGAGTTCTAAGGCTAGCGGCAAAGGCTCGTTGGGTCGTTTTTTCGGTCCGTATTCTCATTTGAGAATCGATCGTTGTAAAGGCACATAATACTGCGCCGTTCCTCTCATTTTTGAGAGTCTGCGAAAGGCCATCGATATAATAGCCCTTCTTTCGAACTCTGGTCGCCGAGAACAAGTTTATGGATAGCTCTGGCAAGTGATAAACCTGTTCCAAGAGTGCCTCCGTTTTACAGCCCGTATCATCCAGAATCGTGAGCCGGATAGTTCCAACTCCAGCGGCCCGAGTCATGCCTCCAGCAGTTTCGATGGTTAGCTCCTGGCTCTCATTGACGGTGTAGCTCTCAAATATAGAGCGATCATGCGTCATATGGTGGCTGGCGCCGGAATCGAGTATCCAGTCGGGCTGTTTAATGGCTCCGATTGACACAAAAGCTGCGATCAGGGCGACGGCTTCCTTTTTCCGGTCGGCGATAAGCTTTTTGATATGCTCAGGCATGAGCTTTGGATATTTTATCCAGCATTTATCCTCGCTGTGGTTAGGCTTTTCGCAATGGGCGCAGAGCTCTTTAATTCTGGGTTCATTCTGAGCCCCTATTCTGCTTCTGCCGCCACGGCTGCCTCCACAATTTCCGCCCCTGCCGCCGTTTTTCCCACCCGTTTTTGGGGGTTGGTTCCCATATAGAGCGACAGCTCTTTCGTCAGCGACGAGTCTCGAGCGGCTTTCTTCTAGAAGCCTGTCCATTAGGTCATCTAGATTACTGATCGTTGGCATCTTTCCCAGCTCATATTTTCTCATTTTGCCCCTGTATTTGTCCGCCCAGGTAGGAAACGTAGCCTGGACAGCATTCAGGTAATGCAGCATCGACATGGCCGCTGGGACTTCAAGTCCTGCTCCTTTGAGCTGCGAGTTTATATTTTTGAGCCGGATATTGAATGTAGCGACATCTTCTGGATCAAGCGTCAGGGTATACCAGTCATCGAAGGCCTGCATCAAGATGTAATTGGCCTTTCCTTTGTACCGGTTTTCGAGCAGTATTCAGGCTTCAGCAGCATTGACTGTCACTCTGATCGTGTCTAGAGTATCAGAGCTACAGGTGGCTTCGATGATCGAATAGGCCTGGGCATTGCCCGTAAACCATATGATAAAGGGCTCTGATTTATTGCCGATGCCTAGTTCTTCGTTTGGATTGGCCGCCGTGGGCTTTACCCCTTTTTCCACGCCGAGAGCGTATTCGATGACGCCCGCCTGGGCTAGTGTCTGTTCAATTCGTCGCTTCCATGATAGGAAGTTGGCGCTGCCTTTGAGCTTCTCATGGCTCTTCAGGGTAGTGAGCAGATGCTCTGTCGTCATTCTAGGCCAGTGATGCTGCTGGCGACGACAGTATCGATGCGACGGTTTGGAAGCTTCGATGCTTCAATTGATCGATATTTTGGTTATAAGATCTCTGCACTGATCCCGGGCTCATAACCTGTTGGACAATATCCGTAGGGCAGTAGGTAGAGAATATAAGCCGAAAATACAGTCACGAAGCAGTAGGGCCCGAAGTGATAATTTTATAATGCATGTTTTTTATAATTGAAGCTATTCTAAGTACTATATATACTGTTACGGGTGTGCCTATTCGTGGTTCGGATTTTAAAACCCTCCTGGTTACAGTTCGTTCCCTGGAGCTTCAGAATCGAAGCTTTAGAATCGGAAGATCCAGGATCCGGAGGATCACGAAGCTGGCTGACACAGCTTCGGTATCAGGGCCCTGATCCCTGCTTCCGGGCCGAGGATTCAACAATAACTATTTAGTAACGTGTGTATTGTTCCAAGTACGGAGTATGTAGCTGCCTGAATTTATAGTAAAGTGGCCCAGGTCACGTGCCCAATTACAACACTTCCTCTCATTTCTCGCACGTGGGGCATCGCTTCTGCCAGTATGTGTATAGAACCATAGGTGCCGCTTCGAATGCGTAGATGTACCACTCGTGTCTCAGGACAGCTTGGCAGGTTCCATCACAAGTCCCCGAAGATATGACGCTGAGATTGCTGAAGCTTTCGATGGCACGGAAGATGCAGCGCAGCAAGACCAGCGCCGAGGTGCCGTAAAGCATGATGCAGATGGTGGGCACCTAGGCGTGAGCATTTTGGCGCGTGCGCAGCGGATGTGTACTAGAGCAACAAAGCCCATGAACAGGCACTCCACAACACCCTGGAGCACGAGAGCGATGGAGATAAAGGTCTCTCCGTTCTTCAGCAGATCCATATCGCCGTTCGCCGCTGAGAGTCGCACCGTGCCGACAGCCGTCAGACTTTCAACTGCTGCACCCACATAGATGAAGAAGTAAAGAACGCGGCTCGGGTTGATAGGTGAGTGCATTGGCGTATAGTGCCTGAGTCGACCAAGGACGTTGTATTCGGCTGCTGAGTATATCGGAGGACCGGCGAGGACGAGACAAGTTTGGGCGATAAAGAGTTTTATGTTTCCTGGATCATAGGATGAGGCAATCCGCATTATCCATCCCGCGATAAAGACAGTGCCGCCATAGAACAGAAAAGCGTGACCTTCCAGTAGTGGTAGTGGCTGCAAAGATGGAAATGTTAGCTACTGCGGTTTTGATAGAATGGAGCAACAGGACGACTAACAAATTTTGCCATGTATGTATAATCAAAGATATGCCGACCAATGCAGCGAATACAGCTGGGAGAACATGGCTAGGGTCATATGGGTGGACGACATCGTTGAGTGCCGTGCTTACACGGTGTTGTAGCACTTGGTAACTGACAGAAAAAAAGGAGTGGTAAGAGAATGATCTGAAGATTGAGTGTTGTTGTTCTGCATTCATAGATCTGGGCGCTGCTCAGAGTATATATACACTATTAACTCTAATGTGGTATTTCACCCAGCCCTAGCCGACCTGAGCATATACTATCGTCACTCCACGTCGATATTCGTAGGAGGTTGAGGCATAATATAGATGACGGCGGCACAATATAGATGACGGCGGCACATAGGGACAGAAAGGGTTAGTTTTCTGTCCGGTTAATACAAAGGTATGAATTTGTTGGTACGATGACAACGTCCACTGCTATGAGGTTCAACCTTGTTTATTGGTACGGAGAATTTCTGCAATATTCCCGCACGCCTTGGGAGGAACGAAGCATTGGACTTGTCAAGGCATTGACAGCAGCATATTCGAGTTACTGTTTGCATAAACGAGCTCTCCCCGAAGCCTTGGTGAAATACTCGGCCGTGCTCCGCACGCTCCGATTTTATTTGGACGACCCTGTCAAAGCCTGCTCATCAGAGACACTATGTGCAGTGATGCTGCTGCTGATATGCCAGGTGATCTATATAGACTACAATCTAAACAACGCTCTATTGACACTTTCAGGGTTTTCATGGCATGACTGATATGGGCTGGACTGGTCACTGCGAGGGTGCACCACAAATACTGAAGAAGGCACGAAGATATTATGACCCCCAATGATGAGTTTGAATCCAAACTGCATCTCTCCCACGAACGCCAGTGGTAAGATACCCAGTATAAAATTCTTTGCACATTAGCTAAGTTCGGTCTAAGATTTTCGAAGGACTTTTCAATCCCAGAATTCAGTTTACTCCCTCGGAATGGAAGACTCTCGTCGACAACCATATTGATGAAGGCAGCTTTCCAGGAAAGATGATGCGTTATGTCTCGCAAGTCACGGCTATGATTCGGCACGGTAACTTCTTCGAAGGGGTAATACGCGAAGGCTGTCGACGAATTAAGGACTAATTCGTCGACAGCCTTCGCGTCGGTGGGAGTATCTGGTATCTATGATACCCACCGACAAAGATATTACGCGGTTAGCGTTTGATGCGCAGACTTATTATCTCGTCCAGCGATTATACACTTTTGCCCTTACCGTTGGTACCATCCTCGGCTGCGTCCTCGGCGCTCTCGACACCGAAGACACAGAGCTCATATCTGATTTGAATTCATTTTCAAGCGGAATTATGGCTCTCGCAAGGACGGGAAGAGATTCAAACCTCTTGGAGCTAGTTACATGATGCTCTGTTTCCAGGCGGCGTGGATTGGAACTACTGACCCCTCAGTGAAGGCCGAGGCGGAGAAGGAAATGGTTGAATACGTGGGAGACTTCGGAGGGGGATATACTAAGGAGCGGTTGGCCGGAGCTTGAGCGGATGTCACAGCATTTGCGCCTTATTGACCCATATTCAAGGTAGAGAGAGACTGAGAGACTAGAGCATTGATGAAGCCGAATATCACCCAACGAGATTTGGACGTGGCCTGGCTGGAAAGCTGGTTTATCCACAAAGACGCACTGAAGAGCTGCATATTCTTGCGTGGACAAGTGCAGACATATCACAAGAGAGTGTGTCACCAGCCACATGTGGCTTGCTACAGGGGTGATTATCACATTTGGGATAACGATATTTCACATGCGAGTTGCCCATACAAGCGAGTTGCCCACCCCATTTTACACCTAAAATCATGAATTTTGTAACTAAATATCTCAACAACTATTTAGTAGTAAACTATAAAAATGTATATTTAGCCTTTTATAAGCATTTAAAGTGTCTTATTTGAATTTTAAAGCAATTAGGCTTATAGTCATTAAGATACTAAATTTTGGCCCCCACTTTAGACCTAAGTCTTAATATCTTAATGACTATAAGCCTAATTGCTTTAAAATTCAAATAAGACACTTTAAATGCTTATAAAAGGCTAAATATACATTTTTATAGTTTACTACTAAATAGTTGTTGAGATATTTAGTTACAAAATTCATGATTTTAGGTGTAAAATGGGGTGGGCAACTCGCTTGTATGGGCAACTCGCACGTGAAAAACGTTATGTGATAATTGCGATTATTTAGAAACGGGATGGGGGCGCAGTGCGATAGATGCTTTGATTTGTACGCAAATAAATACCAAGTACTCAGATGGATTGTTTTTACAATTATTACATTTACCGAGCATATTGCGTTGAAAATACAATATTACAATGTATTGAAGTCCCTAGCTCCTGCATCTTTAGTACATACATTGTTGGGCATTCAACTCGCACCTTGCCGCAACAAACGGGCCTCGCACACGGAACATGCATGGATTTCTCCTGACATTTATCAACCTCCAAAAGTTTCGCGCTCGAAAGATAGAAGCGCCCGTAAGTCCAAGCTCATCAAGACCAAAGGCACCATTGATGTAATTGTTCAACCAGCATCACCATTATGATTCTTTATGAAAATCTATGTTGACGGAGGGTGCCGAGAAAATGGGACACCAGGAGCCTACGGTGCAGCCGCCGTGGTGGTAAAGTCAAGGACCGGTGCAGTAATCAATTCCTACGGGGACTTTATACCGCAGGATTCGCGTCCAACAAACCAGCGGGCCGAGCTGATGGCTATCATCCGGGGCCTAGTTATGGCCATCAACAGGAACTCCGATCTGCAGAATCGCCCCTCCATAGACATCAAAATACACTCCGATTCCAGATACGCGGCGGTTAATTGCATGACCGACTGGAAACACGTATGGCTTGGGAACGGATGGCGCACTTCTGAAGGGTTACCCGTGTTGAATCAGGACCTCACCAGACAAGCTCATCAGCTCATCAGGTCGACACCAAACTTCGAAGCTTCGGGGAGGTGAAGTACTGCTGGGTCCCGAGGGAAGAAAATCGCGAAGCTGATCAGCTTTGTAACAAGATATTAGACGGCTAGAATTATTACGAGTGACGAACTGGAGCACGGAAGTTTGGGGAGGGTGTTGAATGAGGTGTCGACCGCATTTTCTTACCTGTATTACGGGGGCTGGATGGGGTGTTAAAAGCGTTTTCTTCGGGCTGCATTGCCACAGATCGGAGGGGAGTCTCGAATTTCCAACAAGGGCCGAGCTGGGCACTGTGACGATTGGTTTATGAAGTATCTCTTCTGTTGCTCAAGGTGGCAGATATTGGTTGAGAGGAGGAGGGTGAACCCTGCGAGATGTTCCCTGCTATAAATTAGGACGAGCCCAGAATGGCCACACTAACCTACTTCAAACGGAAAATAGCATCGAAGGGAGTAGTAGAGCATGTTCGAAAGCGGAGAATGCCATGGTTATACTTCCAGGGTTTGTGTTTGTGGAAAAGACAAGCAAGGTTTAAACCTTCTTTCTGAAGGAAAGCACGACTGGAGCGTTTTGAAGGGTTTCCGTTATTGCTGGTTTCATCCTCGTCATCTCTCTTCTTCCGTTTTGGTACTAATAATGATGGGGTCTCTGTCTCTGTCTTTGTCTCGGGGGGCGAGAAGGGGCGAGAAGGGGCGAGAAGCAGGGGCCCGGTGCGAGTGGCTTGCGCGGATGGCGTATTTTGGACCGAGTTATCCTTTTTGTGTAAGTTATAAGTTACCTATACCATAATAGATATGGGATGGGGGAATGTATCACATATTGGCTTTGTCTAATTCTGAAACCTTGGATAGGCGTACTGCGGAATCGCGGAGAAAGCCAGAGCGATCGCTGGGGGGAGGGGCCATGCAAGGACCAGGGCTTGACGACGGAGATTAAGCTCGATCCTAGCATACCGGCCGACAGGAGGTGTCCAGACTAACAGATAGGCTACCAGTCATATCGACAGATGGGAGGAATATAACCAGCGGCCGGCGGTGATCATAAAACGGGGAACTTAGGCATGTGGGTTTTGTCCCACCGTGAGCCAATTCCATCCACCCAAATTAATTTCCCCCTTCCTTCCCTTCCTTCCCTTCCTTCCCTTCCTTCCTCCCTCCCCCTTTCCTTTCCTTCCCTTCCCTTCCCTTCCCTCCATTCCCCTCCTCCTCCTTCCACCAAACAATCCCACCGCTGACGGCATGACCCCCTAGCCCGCAATCTGATCGTCGCGCTACTACGACGACGTTATCGTTGCTAAACCTTGGTGTTGTTTGCTCGTCCCACCGAGTACTCAACTACCGCCGTTGCTAAACTTTGGTGCTGTTTGCTCGTCCCACCGAGGACTCAGCTACCCTTGCGCCGCCTTGAAATAATTTCGTCTCTGCATCTCGACGACCTCTGTTTGCTGCTAGTTTCCCACTCCCGATCCCTTGGGCAACACTGAACCGTACTATTCATCGCTTCTTCTGATGTTTGGCCACAAGCTAACAGCTGTCAGCACAATCCTGTATCCCAATCAATGCGCTAGCGCCTTCAACCAAAAGCTCTCCCGGCTCAATCGCGACGCGGAGCCGGGCCGGTTATCTCCATCCATATCTACCTCGTCAGTTTTCTGCGCCCCGTCATCGCAACCCGCCTGTGCTCGAAAACTTCTGTCGCGTCGAAATACCATCCTCTACGAACAATTATCATTACAATTACAAATATACTTTGCTTTATTACCCCGCATAATCAGTTGTTGGGAGCCCTGGTATCGCTGTTTGTTTGTCGAGCGCGACTTGCCTTCGGGGAACAAATACCTTGTGCACTTCACTACAACCTCGCGGCTGTAACCTCGCGGCTAAGCGCAGACACATTTAATTTCTTCCGGATCAGTTCGCAGCTTCACCGTAAGCCTCGCATCGATCGTCACTGCGCGCATCTGGCCTCCATTCCAGCAACCGGCCATCATATCATTGAGCAACCGACAGTGCCTCATCTGTGTGCTTTGTTCTTGCAACGCTCGACGCCTTGCCCCACTTTCGTTCCATCTCTGACTGTGATCATACATTTACCACCGGTTTAGAAGTCTCGTTGTGCTGTCATTCGTTATAATATCCCGCATTCATCCAAACTCAAACCCGCCGGCACTCATCTACGTATAGACTGCCACCTGCTCCTGCAACCTCCCACGGCATCAAGGCGCATATCACACCAATTCGTTACCCTTTACAACGAGCTAGACGCTCATGCGGGGCTATACAGTCCTACCTATCCCGTTTCAAGTGGCCGAGAAATCAATGATCAGAGTTACCGACTACAGCTTCTAGAGTACGATATTCGTGGATACTAGAGGAGCTTGGCTTAACGCTCGAACGCGCGCCAAGCCAACCCTACCGGTCCACCAAGCCCAGCTCGGCCAGTTCACACGTAGGACGACCTATACCAGCCTACTGGATGCAGAGCGTGGAGATGACCGGCGCGAAACCGGGGCGACATCAACGACGACCAGCGCCGGGAGCCGACCATGTGAAGCATAGGAGGACGAGATCAGGATGCTTTACCTGTAGGAATAGACGTGTAAAAGTATGAACTCGTATACCATTCTCCAGTTCTGATGCTGACCACATGTAGTGCGACGAAGGCCGCCCCACATGCGAGAGTAAGTTGCTTAGGACTCACTACTCAGGAATTGGAAGCTGAACTGTGCAGGATGTAAGAAAGGCTCGAGAGAATGCTCCTATCCGGAAACAACGTCATCAAAGACTGGCAGCGCCGGCAGCTCAAAGGCTGGCCAGTCAAGTCTAACGCCACCATCCGACGAATACGACGATGAGGTTGATGTAGACCGCCTCGAGTCCATACAGAACGAAGATGAGGACCTATTCGATGCAAGTCAAAGCAGGAACACACTCGCTAATTCAACCCATACACTACAACAACAAAGTCATAGCCGTTTAAGCTCCGAGACGCCATCTCTGGTGCAAGATAAAGGCAGTTCGCCCTCCCCATCTACCGAAGGATCCATAGGATATAATGCTCACCTGCATAAAGCTGATCAGAGGCTGGCGAAGCCTTCTCGTCTCCCCCCGACCAATGACGGAGGCAAGCCTGACTGGTCAGGCCTGCCCCGCGATCTACAGTTCTATCTCGAATATTTCGTCGCGAATGTCACCCATCACCACTATTATTTCAAGAAGGATGCAGGGAATTTCTTCCACACGACATTTTTACAAGCAGCACTGCGGAATAAGTCGCTGTTGTATGCTGTTGTTGGATTTTCCGCGTTTCAGCGCACGCTCCACAATCCAGAAGGGAAGATACAGGACTTCCTACAGTACTACAACAAATCTGTTCAGCTTCTATTGAAGTCGCTGAGGCGAGGCGAAGGGAGAAATGTTCATACAATGTATTGCATTTTGCAACTCGCAACCATAGAGGTAACGATTGCTGTCCCTAAGACGAAACAAGGCTAACAAATGTGTAGGAATATCTAGGAGACTGGGTAAATCTTCTGAGTCACCAAAAAGCCGCATATTCTATTTTGACCAGTCTCATGACGCCTCAAACTGCCATGGCGACGGATCTCAACCGGGTGCTGCTCGGCTGGTATGCCCGATTCGACGTATTCGCGGGCCTTATAGGCGGCTTCAAAACCGTGCTTTCCCAAGAATGGTTTACAGTCAAGCTGCAATTCTACACCCACAAAGTCCAGACGGAGCCAGACAATATCCTCTGGAAAATCGATGAGACGGCTTCAAAAATCAATATCATAGCTATGGAAATGTCGGTCCTGTTTGCGAAAATAAGCAAAGGCGAGATCAGCATTGAGCAATTCAATTTTGAGAACGAGATGATCGCAAAGAGGATCCGAGAATCCATACCCAACATGGATCCGGCGCTCCACGACTCGAGGTATAAAGTCACAGATTTCACTGGTGCACGACCTCTAGACCCGGAAGATATTGTGAACCCCTATGAGCCAGGACTCATCCAAGAGGGCGTCCTCTGGCCCATCAACATTTGCAAGCTCGATATATATGCGCTGGATTTGATGCGACTGGTCCAGACCGCCCAAATCCTGCAAATCCAGACGAAGGACGAGGAGGTATTTATCCCCGCATTCCAAATCTGCCAAATGTTCGAAGCCGTCGAATACTGGCCACGAAGCCCCAAGGGCGCCATCCTGTCTTGCCTGGCCAGCCTCGGGATTGCAGCCATCGCACTTCCCCGCGACCAGCGTCACATGAACTGGCTGCGGAGGAAATTCACGGTGGTGGAATCGAACGGGTAAGAGAACCCTGTCTTCACGCGGAGATGGACACTGACTTTTGATAGATACATCTACCCCGTTACATTCCGCGAACGCATATCTGAGTTATTCCAGGATCCGACGTGCATGCAATGGTGGCTCCCGAACGGCGAGAACTACCCACCGACCATCCGCTCGATTCGAAGCTTCGTCGAGGAGCGCACGTCGACGCCGCGCGACGAGGTGACGGAAGATCTGCGCGATATGAAGGTCCTATTTGGCTCCCTTAATCTCGAAGATGACAAGTCGAAATCAACGCCGTCGGACTCGGCTCTGGCAGACAGCAATAGTCCGGAGTGGATACAGCCTAATTATATCAGTGCATATACGACAGGGACAGAGGATCATAACGCACCGCCCAATTCTCAACAGCAATGGTTTGGCATCGAAGGCTTCCTGATGCAAGATCCCAACGAATACAGGCCATCATAAGCCTATAGGGCAATCTGGACAGCAGTTGCGATACATCAGAGTGCTGATCCCGGAAGGGTTTTATTCTGCAGTGTGCCAGATTCAGCATATAGCCCTTATCCCAAGGGAGAAAGCCACATGGATATATGTTCCAATTGGAAGCGGTTGCGGTTTTGGTTACGATGGACGTGTAGTATTGGTTAAGATGCAGTGGCAACAAGATGCGAAGACTCTTGGCAATATCGGAACCAAGACAGAAGGTAATATCGACGATAACGACTAATAAAATAGCCTGGGCAACCGCGACAACGGTTACAATAATACTGGGTCGATAAGAAAACTGCCATATAGGCCACGACGGATGGGTAAAGGATATATATATTGGGACTGCAGGGTCGTTTTGGGCCCAGGGATATCAGGGAGCGGATTTCCTTCCAAAGGATAGGAAAAGATTTCGGGGGCAAAAAGTACACGACACTCTCCAAGGGTTGAGGATTTTTGTGCGAAGACTGGAAAGTTGCTTGAGTTTTGGAAAGTATGCGTAAAGCTCGTGGCGAGCGTGCATTAATTATGATTATAAAGGGCGGATGCCACCATAGTTGCTGGCGTCAGAATAGAGCGCTTGAGCCACTCACTCTCGCCTTACTCCTAAATTTAAGAAGAGGGAAGATACTCATTGAACCACTTCACTGCCCCGTCTAACGCGCTATCCCTCGCAAATTTGACAACTGGATCGCTGAGATCACCGCGCACGCTGCTCTTTGTTATTTCTCACGCGATGAGGAAGGCGCTGACTGGGGCGTACCTGAAGCCATGGAGAGTGCCCGCATACGTGGTACACATCCACATCACCCCACCTTCCTTCAACCTATCCTCCGTAGCCTTCCTCTTCTCCTCGGGCAGAATATCATCCTCCTCTGCGGAAAAGATAGCAAGTGGTTTCCAGACCTTGACTTTTTCCCATCCGCCTCCCCTTTCTCCGACTTATCCCCAGCTGGCCGGCCCAACGCTGACACCTCGTCCAAAGTAAAAAAACTCGGGTGATTCACCACGCCCGCCTCGATCTTACCCTCCGCAGGCAATCGCATCACGTACCTCCCACCAAAACAATACCCAATAGCACCCACGGGTGTGGGGGTGGATGGAGGGGAGGGTGCAGCAGGCCATCTTGGTGGGTTGGGGGGGTTAGGTGAGGTGAGTTTTGAGATGGGGTGGAAGGCAGGAAGGTTGAGATGATATGGAGAGAGAAAAATTAGGGTTGAGAAGGATATATAACTTTCTCATATGTGGTATGGCGGGGTAGCGATGAGGGGTCGTAGGCACCACCAGCTGGATATCCCTGCACCTGCACGCCCTTTAATCTAGATCGTTGCTCACGCTTGCGAGTGATTGTCCTATAATAGTCGAGTTAGTGACAAGTAGAGAGCGATTGAAGGATTGTGGTTATAATTATAATGGTTATATTCACATATTTTGTGTTTTTTTTCCTTCAACACTTGGGACGTGTATCGATATGAGTGGGACAATGCTTGTGTGACATCACCCCGCGTTGGTTTTAGCGTCGCAACTTTCGACCCCTCCCGCTGTCGGAGAGCCCTGCCCCAAATTTATTAACGAAACCTCAACATTGTAATTCTTTCCCTCGTCATTGACTCACCATTCTCACCTTCTCAACCTCCGAAATCAACCAAATAGTATAGGGATACTACCGCCCCTATGGATCAATTACCTGATCCGACCATCGACCTCGACTGGTCCGGTTATGTCGGCTCAATCCACGAGCGCTTCCGCGCTGCCGCTGAGTCACACCCAGACCGTACCTGCGTGTTCGAGACGAAATCATCCACGAGCCCCGAGAGGCGCTTCACCTACCGCCAGATCTACGAGGCCTCGAATATCACCGCCCGCTACCTCCGCGAGGCCGGCGTCACAAATTGCGACGTTGTTATGATCTGGGCCCACCGGTCCGTCGATCTCGTTGTTAGTTTGATGGGCACCTTGACCGCCGGAGCGACAATGGCAGTCCTGGACCCCGCATACCCGCCGGCGAGGCAGCAGATTTACCTCGAGGTCTCGCAGCCGCGTGCGCTGATCAAGATTGGCAGTGCGACTGACGAGAATGGACCGCTGGCCCCGGTGGTGCAGAAGTATATCGACGAGCAGCTTAACCTCAAGACTGTGGTTCCTGAGCTGCGTCTTCTCAACGATGGAACTCTGTCCGGAGGCGAGGTTGATGGCAAGGATGTATTCCACAACGTTAGAGAGCATGCGTCGACGCCGCCTGATGTGATCGTGGGCCCGGATTCGAACCCCACACTATCATTTACCTCGGGAAGTGAAGGTCGGCCCAAGGGTGTCCTTGGCCGCCATTACAGTTTGACCAGATACTTTGGCTGGATGGCTGAGCGCTTCCAGCTTTCATCGGAGAGCAAGTTTACTCTGCTTTCTGGTTTGGCTCACGACCCGATTCAGCGCGATATCTTCACACCGCTATTTCTGGGTGCACAATTGCTGGTCCCTTCAAGGGACGATATCCAGCACGAGAAGCTTGCCGAGTGGATGCGCGAACACAAGCCTACGGTTACTCATCTCACCCCGGCCATGGGTCAGATTCTGGTTGGAGGTGCAACGGCAGAATTCCCGTCCTTAGAGCGTGTTTTCTTCGTCGGTGATGTGTTGACGGTCAGGGACTGCCGCGCCCTAAGACGACTTGCTATCAACGCCAACATCATCAACATGTACGGAACCACCGAGACCCAGAGAGCAGTCAGCTACTATGAACTTCCGAGTCGCGCTAAGGATGCGGATTGCTTGGAGAAACTCAAGGACACAGTCCCAGCTGGAAAGGGTATGGAGAATGTCCAGCTCCTGGTTGTGAACAGGGAGGACCGAAATAAACTTTGCGGGGTTGGCGAGGTCGGCGAGCTATACGTCCGCGCGGCCGGTCTTGCCGAAGGCTATTTAGGGGATCAGACTCTGAACGAGACGAGGTTCTTGATGAACTGGTTCGTTGATAATGAGAAGTGGGTAGAGAAGGACAAGAAAGTAAGCAAGAACGAGCCGTGGAGGCAGTATTACAAGGGGCCTAGAGATAGGCTCTACCGTACAGGTGATCTCGGACGGTACTTGGAGTCGGGTGATGTTGAGTGTACAGGTCGTGCAGATGACCAGGTCAAGATCCGTGGCTTCCGTATTGAGCTGAACGATATCGACAGCAACTTGAGCCAGAACGTCTTGATTCGGGATTGCAAGACGCTTGTTCGAAGGGATCGTAACGAGGAGCCGACACTGGTCAGCTATATCGTGCCAGAGCTGGCAGAATGGCGCCGTTGGCTAGCTGCAAGCGGAGTGGAAGATATTGAAGACGAGGGAACTGAGATGGGAACCGTGATTGTCTACGCCAAGAAGTTCAGGAGAATGACGACCGAAGTGTGGGACCATTTGAAGGCTCGTCTGCCGGCTTACGCAGTCCCCACGATATACATCGTTCTTAACAAGCTTCCACTGAACCCTAACGGCAAAGTTGATAAGCCGAACCTTCCGTTCCCCGATGTGGCGGAGCGCACTGAAGACGCATCCGAGGAGGACTTGAAGAACTGGGAGTCTCTTACGCAGACTGAGCGGACAGTAGCCCAGAAATGGGCTGATCTTATTCGCGGCTTTAACCCAAAGACGATCAGACGCGACAATGGCTTTTTCGACCTGGGTGGACACAGTCTTCTCGCACAACAGTTCTTGTTGAACATCCGAAAGGAGATGGGCGCAGAGGTGTCTATTAACAGTCTCTACAAGTTCCCTACCCTGTCTGAGTTCAGTGCCGAGGTGGACAAGAAGATTGAAGAAGCACGCAGTGGCAAGGCCGCAGCAGCCGAAGAGACCGACCTTGCTTACTCCAAGTCCCTGGAAGAGCTGACGCACAACCTGCCCGCCAAATTCCAGACGGCAGATCCACAAGCACTTGCCGATTCGGAGAACATTACAGTCTTCCTCACAGGAGCTACTGGTTTCTTGGGTTCTTACCTGGTCAAGGATATTCTCACACGGACACGCCGCAGTGTCAAGCTCATCGCACACGTACGAGGTGCTAAGGATTTGGCAGGTGCGCTTGATCGTCTGCAGCGCTCGCTTCGCGGCTATGGCCTGTGGAGAGATGAGTGGGCGTTGAGACTCAGCTGTGTTGTCGGTGACCTGGCCCAACCCCAGCTTGGAATCGATGATGCGTCCTGGAATACTCTAGCAAATGAGGTCGATGTCGTTATCCACAACGGTGCCACTGTCCACTGGGTGAAGAGATACCAAGATATGATGGCTGCAAACGTCATCTCGACTGTCGATGCGCTGAGGCTCTGTAACGAAGGCAAGCCCAAGCAGTTCTCCTTCGTCAGCTCCACCAGTGTTCTCGACACAGATACCTACATCAAGCTCTCCGATGATATGATCCGTACAGGTCAAGGAGCTATCCTTGAGTCCGACGACATGATGGGCAGCAAGACTGGCTTGGGCACTGGATACGGACAAACGAAGTGGGTATCTGAGCAACTTGTCCGTGAGGCAGGGAAGCGCGGTCTCTCCGGCTCCGTTGTCCGCCCAGGTTATATCTTGGGTGACTCCGAGACTGGTGTCTGCAACATCGATGATTTCCTGGTGCGTATGCTCAAGGGCTGCATTCAGCTGTCCGCACGTCCCCACATAATCAACACCGTCAACGCCGTGCCCGTCAACCACGTCGCGCGCGTCGTCGTTGCTGCCGCATTTAACCCCCTACCAAACGGCGTCCACGTCGTCCACGTGACGGCTCACCCCCGCCTGCGCATGAGCGAATACCTCTCCATCCTCGAGTACTACGGCTACAAGACCCCCGAAGTCAGCTACGCGGAATGGAAGTCGGAGCTTGAGAAGTTCGTGTCCGCCGGTACGCTTGAGAAGGATCTCGAGCAGCACGCTCTGATGCCACTGTACCATTTCTGTATGGATGACCTGCCAGCGACGACCAGGGCGCCGGAGCTGGATGATCGGAATGCGATGGCTGTGTTGAAGGCTGATGCGGACCGCTGGACTGGTGTGGATGAGGGAGTTGGATATGGTATTGGGAGAGAGGATATCGGACGGTTCTTGAGGTATTTGGCTATGATTAAGTTTATTAGCGAGCCGTCGGAGAGGGGCAGGCCGTTGCCGGAGATCGGGGTCGATGCCGCGCAGATTGGCGAGATTGGAGGACGTGGTGGAGCGGCTTAAGTGGCTCAGGGAGTTGAGCCTGCGGGAAGTTTAAAGGGGGAGCGGCTGGGATGGTCTGGAATCATCGCTGGAAAAATGATCTCATTGAATTAAGATTATATGTCCTATACTCGCGTCATGGCAATAAAATAGGAAATAAAATACGGTGATTTATGTCTGAAGTCTTCTAGCTCTTGGAAAATAATTGTGAACGGACCTAAAGGTCTCGTAAATATATCCAGATAATAAAATGGACACTGCTTATCATCTCTTTTACCAGCAAGGGCTCTTCCGAGTCCTCAGAAGACCAGGCACAGAGCGAAGCACCGCATCTTCAAATTTACCTAGATACAGCAATTCTACTTTATTCTTCGATGGCTCTCGTTCAGGATATACGAGCTCGGGAATGTTTTCCCGAGGTACTGTCTTTTATTTCGTTAGTATTTCGTCCGACATCGACGAGTTACGTCGTTGGTGTGTTGCAGTGGAGCTATAATATTACCAAAGCTCAAAAAACATGCGAGAGCACCCTTTTCCGTAGTCAAGGCTGATGTGCAAGCGATGGCAAAAGTATGCAATTTTAATTTAAGCTGGCTTCTAGTGGTGGGACTTTCTTGCAACGCGGGAACCCCGCAACGCGGTAACCCCCAAACCCAAACCCAAATTCAACCCCAACCCCGCAACCCCGCGACCCCGCAGCTCGGACCAACATGCAGGAACAGAAAGTGCCATGCCGCCCTTCTATCCGGACCCCGCACGATAATCTCGGTCTAGACGACGCCGAAGATGGGCGATCTGGAGAGGGCTGATGCACTTTCTTCGTCAAAGCGATGGAATTGCCTTTTCTGATTCGTATAAAATCAGGTCCCTGCCCGCGACCCCCAGAAGATCGCTGTACAGGTCAACTCGGACAAGGAAATGGCGCAGAGAGCCGCAATACCCTAATTTTGTCCAGGGAGGTTCGTAGAATAGAAATAGGAGACATCTACAGTTAAGTTTGTCGTAGCCCTGGCTTTCCCAGTTACTTCATTCGACTGTGGTTTTGCATGAACAGCGCGCCTAAAAATGTGGTCGTCAATCCCAACTGTGCTAACTCTATTACTGGCCGTATCCGGCTCAGTAGCTACCAAAGACAAGGACCACAGAAAGAGCTGCATAGTCAAGAGCGGCGGCAGCAATGCGACTGACGATGCGCCGGTAATCTGAAGGCGTTCAAGAAGTGTGGTCATAAGGGGAGGGTCGTTTTCGAGCCGACCAATGTTGAAGGAGGAGGTTGCTCAGACTGATTGGTTGGGCGTGTGGCTCGCCAACCGAATCGGGTTGCGGACCACCCACAAATAGTTCTGTAGATAGCTTCACTCAAAACAACAATACAACACATATTCCAGTGAACTGTTGTTCAACTCAACTTGATGACTTATACTACCGCTGCAAGTGATATCATACACTTCAACAACCAATTACTACGTTAACTCGGTCATGAACATTGACTAACTCAAGGATGTTGATGTTGATATCTACGACACTCTTCTGGTATTTCTTCCCGGGAGGTTTGATACGGCCTTGAGGTGCCTAGATCGCTGACAACTAGTCTCACTTAGTGGAGTACTGATATCCAATACTGGCTCAACAACTCCATGGATGTCGGATACCAGAACCAGTCTACTGCATTGATAATTGGCGGTGATAATGTTCGCATCAACGGCCATGGGACCGGAACGTTCGATGGTAATGGCGATTACTGGTAGCAATGGATCAGAAAGCAGCCGAACACGTCCAACTACCCCGGCCAGCCACATGCTGTGACTTTCGGTAACCTCACCAACTCGGTCGTCCGTGGTCCCACATTCCTAAGGAGCCAGATGTGGTATGTAACTAGCCGAGTGATATCCCGAGTGGTGCAATGGTATAAAGAATTGAAAGCGTCATTGTACTAATATTATTCGCTCTAGGACTATGTCTCTCATCTACTCCCACAATGTCTTGCTTGACAGCATTCTTTGAGTTTCCATAGAGAGGGGCGGCGGGAACAATGTACTAACTGCATTGCCACATAGCCAACACCGATGGAGCGGATACCATCCGCTCGTCTCATATTACGTTTAACAACTGGACCGTTTACAACGGAGATGACAGTTTGTCGATGAAGGCCCATAGCACCGATATCACCATCAAGAACTGCAAGTTCCACAACGGCTTGGGTATCGCGATGGGAAGCATTGGGCATTACAACGACCAGTATGAGACCATTGAGAGAGTTACGGCCGAAAACATCGAATACGTAAACACACTTCATGCTGTGAGTTCCCAGCACTAATATCGAGACATATGCGGATGAAAGGTCTAACACAACACCATAGTTTTATATTAAGACCTGGACGGCCGATCAGAACGGCTACCCACCTAATGGAGGCGGGGGTGGTCTCGGATGTAAGTTCCTCTTCCTTGTTTCTCGGGCCCACGTATTATTTAGGAAATACTACTAACACATCAACCTCCCAGTCGCATCCGGCATGAAGCTTACGTATCTGACCACAACTTGTTTCCGGGGTGCCGCCTTCGCCATCTCACAGCGTCCTCGATTTTCCGGTGCTCCGGGCGTGGGCAATTGCACCAACTCTGAGTTCCAGGTCCGAAACATGGAGATCGACGGCCTCTACGGCGATAGCAAGTCAGCGAGGGTGGCGAGTCTGCAATGCAGCGCCGTGGTGCCGTGCACAAATATCACGATGGTCAATGTTGGGTTGCACCTTACTAACGGCACCCCTGCTGCGCAGTACCTTTGCGGTAATATTGCGAACCCGAGCAGATTTAACTGTACTGGCACGCCTTGCGTTGGGGGGAGTGCTACGGGGGAGTGTTAGAAAACTAACAAAGGCTGGTGTAAAGCAAAAGGGGCGATAGACGTAGAGATGTGAGCTGTCTACGGCCAATAATTTTAGTAGATATTGTGCTGCCACTTTAAAAAGCTTTAGTCTAACTTCTTTACTTCCTGATTCAGTACGACTGTAAATGTGAACGGATTGGATCTACCCCATAGGATACATACCGAAAAGAGACGGTGAAATACTCTCCGGCTAAGAAGATGGAACTACTACTGTAGAAGTCAAAACTAGAAAAGTGATCGCCATTATTTGAGAAGTAATGCCAAGCTAATTACGGACAGCATTCGCCCGAACTAGGTTGAGTGTCAACCAACACTAATTTAGTCTTTTGAGAATGCTTGTTGAGTCTAATGTAGTGGACAAAAGATAATCCTTGATCTTGGAGTGTTAGAACACAGTCTCCTAGGACCTGTTTAGAGTAAGTCTGTCCATTAGTGGAAAGACCACAGTACATTTAGCTTTGGCGTTTTTGCTCTATGCGACCCGATAGCGATAACGTGACCACTACTACCCTGCTCGCCAAGAGCACTCATCTTTGCAATGTACATACCTTACCAGGCCCAGCCAAAAGGGCGGCAAGGAAGAAGTGCGAATGTTATCTCAGCGCTGCAAGCTTCTCAAATTGGGAACATACACGGTAGCATAGCCCAGCGAGATAAAAATGCAGGGCCACCACGATCTCCAGAGTATCACCGAACGTCGGGTCTGCTATCATCGGACACGATTGACGCGTGTAGCAATTTCTTTTCCGCCGATCTCTACTCTACGCTGCCGTGCTGCAACGGGAGATGTTGGACTATTCGGGAGATATTATGAGCACTACGAGTACTACTGAGACTTATTACCTTATTGTATCATTTTGTGCCTTTATTATTATTCAAACAGGAAGTGTCCATCATACCGCTTCAAACCTAGATGAAAGTCTATTACAGTCAGATGTCGGCTACGGACAAGCTTTGATTAGTGAAGCACTTGAAGCTCGAAGAAGTGCCCGCCCTCTGATACAGCCCTCAGTTCAGGAACAAGGCGTGGTTCTTTCTGCGAGAGGCGACGACACTTTACATGGCTGGCATTCTAGAAGGGAATGCTCAGGGGTCTTTGGAATGGCACACTTTCTGCGTGTTCCGTCGACTGACTCGTGAGCCTTGATGAGCACGTTAGAAGTTCCGCCTGTCCATCTCTCGATATCACGGGTATCCAGAGGATGAACCTGCTTGTTACTCAGCAATGGCTGCGACTAATTGTGTGGCAACTTTCCAACAAACTAGGATTTCTGTCTAGTGTATCGACTCATGAATCATGTTCACGACTTTGAGGTGAGTGTATATGAGTGCGAATTAGAGACGATGGACGCTTGTCATATTAGATTATTTGAGTACCTCGGCAATTTATAGACCTGAATTATTATCCTTCATAGAAACTGGTTTGTAAGAAACAGGAGAGACCTTGGGCATTTGGACGACCCCGTCCGCCTAATGTAGCGCCTGGCCGAGTTTGAGTGCTTCGTGTTGCAGGTGACTGTGCGGGACTTTGTTGTCAATCAGGGGGGATCTGGTCCCCCAGCGTGAGCCATGTCAAGGGCATTGACATCGTCAGCGAAGACGAAGTCAGGTTCTCTAGTAAGTTCTGGGTAGGATAGGTGGTGCACGTGAGAAGACGCATAATATCACGTGCTGTGGACAGGAATGCAAGTCGAAGCGCGTGACTTCGCGACTCGTGCGTCACAAATTGAGCGCGGATGGACCGCGTCAGAAACCACTTTACGCGTCGACGACATCAGCATTTTTTGATATCAGCGACATTTTTTGCGGATTAGATCTCGTTACTTGGCGATTTATCCCAATCCTTTGTCCCTGAGAGCCTGTTTCTTCTCTTTGCGTGCGTATTAAGTTCAAGGACAAAGCGGATTGGATTGTGGAGCGCGTGTTACGTGTGTGACAATACTGGCACTCACTTGCTTTGCGGCGCGGAAAAGTTAAGCTTTGAAAGGAGGCCTGTGGGTGATATAAGAAGTGATTTTTCGATCGGAGACGGCTTCAAAAATTAGGGGCTGAACTGTGCGCTTGCGAACGAATCCTCCATAGAAACGTTCGACTAAGCTTTGGAATAATTCCACCAAGGATCACCCATTCCAGCACTGCATGCGCTGCATGAAGATATACGAATATATCCAAACTTGCGAGGGTTGTTGATTTCTAGCGTCACAAAGCATTTGCATGCCAGAGCCTAGCCATGGCCCCAAAATCAACGGAAGATGACTCGATGGAGTCTCGGACACCTACAACAGCGCCGTCCTCCCCACCTGACGTCGGAGTGGAAGAACCGCCGGCAACCAGCAATCTTCTCAATGACGAGCAGCTGAAGCAGATTGGTGCCGAGGAAAAGAAGGCCCATCTGCAGAACAGACGAACAGAGCTTGCCCGCCAGAAACGATTGGCGGCAAAGAAAAGTCGTGTTCTGGGCAAGGAAGCTGCAGAGGCCAAAGCACGCGAACTAGACGAACTGTTAGCCAAGAGTGCGGCATTTTCGAATATTCTCACGAAGAAGACGCAAGTCCTCGGTCGAGTCGGGAGCGGCTTCGATGGGAAAGCACTCGGCGAGCATGATTTGGAAATGGCTCAGCAGCCGAAGATCATGAGCGGCGGTACGATGCGCGACTACCAGCTCGAAGGTTTGACGTGGATGTATGAGATTTGCGCGCAGGGCATGAGTGGCATCCTGGCCGATGAGATGGGTCTGGGAAAGACCATCCAGACGATATCGCTTATTGCGCTGCTGCGAGAAAAAGAGAAATATCTTGGTCCTCATCTCATTGTTGCGCCGCTTAGCACGTTATCGAATTGGGTAGAGGAGTTTCAGAAGTGGACGCCGACCGTGCCGGTTTTGCTATATCATGGCGACCCAGCGAAACGAGAGGAGCTAAGGACGACAAAGATCACTAAACATCTGGAGAACGGCAGGCCAACGTCAAAGTTTCCGGTTGTGTGTACGAGCTATGATATTATATTGAGGGATAAGAATTACTTGTCGCATATTAACTGGGAGTTTATCATAATTGACGAGGGGCATCGGTTGAAGAACTTCAACAGCCAGCTATTCCAGGAGTTAAGGAAGTTTACGTCAGCTACTAGGTTGCTGATTTCGGGAACGCCACTACAGAATAACCTCAAAGAGCTCTGGTCCTTGCTCAACTTTCTCCTCCCAACCGTGTTTGTGGATTGGGAAGCCTTCGAGTCATGGTTTGACTTCAGTGATCTACAAGACGAGGAGGGGACAGAGGAGTTTATTGCCGACCAGAAGAAACAGGAGCTTGTGAAAAAGATACATCTAGTTTTGCAACCTCTCTTGCTACGCCGTATCAAGGCCGATGTGGAGCATATGCTTCCCAGGAAGCGCGAATACGTTTTATACGCACCGATGACGGAGCAGCAGACCGAGTTGTACGATATTCTATCGGATAAAAGCCAAGATGCTAGAAAATATCTGGAAAACAAGGTCGTCGAACGCATTACAGGAGCAAGAAACGCATCTAAAGGGTCTACAAAAACTACAACTAAAGCCGCAAGATCAACAGCACCACCCAAAGTTGAATCTGACAGTGAGGAGAAGGTTCCCCTTAGCGTCTCCATCCGCACTCGCAAGGCAAAGGCAGAACTCGAGCAAAAACCAGCCACACGCCTAAATGCGTTTGAGATGATGATGGTTGGTAAGAAGAAGGCAATGCCGCCACGGACCCCATCAAAAGCCAGTCTCAAACGCAAGTCCTCAGATGATAGTATTGCGTCTTCTGCCAAAAGCATAAAGTCGAGCCGCCAATCAACGCCAGCCACAGCCTCTAAGTCGAAACCCAAGCGCAAATCCTACAAGGAAGCAGATGCCTCCGATGAGGATAAACTGAGCGACGACGAATTCGAGGCCAAATTGGCTGAGGAGCTGGCAGAAGCTGACATAGCTAGCTCCTCCGATTCCGACGACGAATCTCGCGAGCTCGCCAAAACCCTCGAGATGGCAAAGCGCGAGATTGCTACGAAGAAGCTTGGCAACCCGCTGATGCAGTTGCGCCTTGTATGCAACTCACCCCACAACTTCTACAACCCCTGGTCTGCAGACTCCAAGATGCCCATCGACGAAACCCTCGTCTCCTCTAGCGGGAAAATGCTCCTTCTCGACCGTCTGCTCAATGCACTATTCGCCGCAAACCATAAAGTTCTGATCTTCAGCCAGTTCAAGACCCAGCTTGACATACTCGAGGACTATGCGCGGGACCTGCGCAGTTGGAATGTATGCCGCATCGACGGTGGCGTGGCACAGGACGACCGACGCCAGCAGATCAAGGACTTCAATGGGGACCCCGAACATCGGCTATTTCTGCTTAGCACGCGTGCTGGTGGACAGGGCATCAACCTCGCGAGTGCGGATACAGTCGTGCTATTTGATAGCGATTGGAATCCGCAGCAGGATCTACAGGCTATTGATCGCGCGCATCGGATTGGGCAGACACGGCCAGTGGTTGTGTTCAGACTTGCGACGAAGGGGACGGTGGAGGAGGAGCTGTTGATGAGTGCGGATGCGAAGAGGAGGCTTGAGAAGCTTGTTATTAAGAAGGGGGGGTTCAGGACTATGGGTCAGAAGATGGATAATAGGGAGGATTTGGATGAGGCGGAGTTGAGGAAGCTGTTGTTGCGGGATGGACAGGTGTATACGTATAAGGGTGGTGGTGAGATTCTGAGCGATGCGGATCTGGGGGTCTTGTGCGATAGGAGTGAGGATGCTTATATAAGGGCGGAGCAGGGGCTTGGGAATGCGGAGGGCTTCAAGATTGTGGAGACGAAGGATGGTGGACTGCTGGTTGGAGGGGAGATGAAGTGATAAAAATGAAGCACAGCTTCTACGAGTGCTTGCGAGGGGTTTTATACCAACGAGTTACTATTGGTAGTGTGGAGTATATATGAATTTAACGAGCTGAGGGCCAATGTAAACGCAAAGGTAGCATATGATAAGAAGTAATACTATGAACCTAAATATATACTATGAATCCCACGCTGCACCACGGCTACCATGAAAAATGACAATTCTGTTTTCTCAGTCCCAAAGAAACGGATCTAATGTCTGTGCCGGAGGATGAATGATACCAGCGACCAGGTTAGATTTCGGGCTAAGTGATGTAGGTCTCGAGACGGCCCAGTTAATTTGTAAGTGATTCTCCGGTGGGCAAAATTTAAGGAGCGAAGGGAAGTTGATAGGAGCGAAATAATCTTTCTGGATCTTCTGTGTGTTATCTTCAGTCGCCGTGCTTTTGAAGCTGTATAATTCCCCTGCTCCGCCCATATAAGCATCCTCACTCCTATCGCACAAGACCCCCAGATCCGCATCGCTCAGAATCTCACCACCACCCTTATACGTATACGCCTGTCCATCCCGCAACAACAGCTTCAACTATTGATTAATTATCCTTTTACTGTCTCCTTGAGGTGCTGGAACTCGGGAACTAGCTTATGATAACTCTAAAGAAAGCGAAGCTGTCACTGGGTGTTTAATGCTTTCGATGTGTTGCTGTCACCGATTTGGGAATGCTACCAATGTGGTGCTGTCACTGCCTTGACCTTCTGGGATCTTGTTTGCTTGATGTTGCCGGCTCCACAAGCATTGTTCGTCTTCTCCTGATTCTTCCTGCGCCTTAAATAAATTGCCTGTTGCGTTGGATTGAATTCGTCGAGGTTCAAAGTGGAGCGAAGGTACTTCTCTGCGCGTGCAATAGTTGACTTCGGCCTGCATCTCGAGGAGTAGCTTTGCCATTGCAGACTCGGCATCTCCTCGATTTCGCGGCCCTGACGCTAAGTTGGCAAATAAGGTGCTTTTGTTCTTTATAAATAGCCTGGGCTTCGACTTGCTTTCTATTGAGCAAGTCGAACCCTATCCCATGGTGAAGTAAGAGATGCTCCCGTCATACTCGAGGGGGATGCGGGTTTGGAAACCCCTGTCGTTTCACCATGCCATGCCTACCCTACTACAATACAGTTTACATCTACGTATAATGCATCTCTTTCAGGGCATGAGCGTGACTTCATAATATAATAATGTCTATCAACGTGTTGGCCCTTACGTATCCACCACCGGCCCCTCTATCCCTATACTCTAAACTCCAGTCGTTTTGAGATGATCATAATGTACAGTTCGGCATTGGGCCATCCCTTTCATAAGTGGGTAAATCATTCCTACTTCTTATCCTTATCCTCCTCTTTCACTTGATCTTGCTCATTCTCATTCTCCTTCCTGGCCTCCTGCTTTGCTCGAATGTCATTTCGAACTTGCCATATCGCTCTTTCGATCTCGGCGTGCAGCTCTGGCATTTCGAGAGCGTTGGCGATGAGAGTGCTATCACCCTCCTGAAGCAGCATTACTTCATGCGGCAATTGGTCTTTTAGGAGGGGTGCCGAGGAATCTGCTGATTTGGGCGGCTTGCTACCGAGAGAAACACTGCCACGGGTGGCTCTCATGATGCCAGGCGCGTACAAGGTATCCAAGATTGGCGAGACTGTGGGTGCGATGAGTTCTTTGTTGATGAGAAATTGGATGTGTTTCGACCCGGATAGGGCGCGCCAATGTGACCATGCTCTATAGACAAGATAGAAGAACGGCAGGTTGGGTATCCTGTTGAATGTTAACAGATATTCCAGTAGCCTGGGAAATATTGACGTACACTGGGAGGAGAGCCACCGGAGCAGTTATAGGCATTCCAACAAAACAGTAGACCAGCCTCGATTTGTGCAGAGACTCCCTCTCTGTCCCAAGCCTCCGGAGCAGCTCGCTGACCTCATTTATAGGGATGACTCCTGATGGGAAAGAAACTTCGACAGTCGCCTGCCCCGCTTCCAGCTCTTGTGCTCTCCGGCGCGCTGACAACGGCGGTATCGACTTCAACCCCCATTCTTCATATGGTATCTTCTTAAGCGCCGCGTTTCCCCAGTCCACGACCTTCTTCCGCCATCCCGAGTCTTTTGTCTCCCAATCTGCCCATAATTTCGCAGCTCTAATAGTGCCTCGGTCGATAAAGGTGGGGTGGTCGGAGATGCTCACGTTCAGGCGCCTGCAGTATAACAACGTCCGTCGGTTCGAGATAGGGAGCAAGTAGAGGCGCATCGCGAACCAGAGGTTCGATCGCGTTGTGATGGGTTTTGTGAAGCCGTAGGTTTCGAGGTCGACTTGGACTGCGCGTTATCGCAGCGGCGACCTTTTTGGCCTGTGTGGTGTCGCGAGAGTATCGGTGAGCTTCTTAACGTATCATATAGTCAACATTGTCGCGGTATTCCAAACATGCTGCAAAGAAGAGTTATATGTTGATGGAAGTGGGAACAGTCCAATGTCTGACCCTGGCAGCATTTTGCCTTCCTTCTCAAATTGCTGGGGTGGGTCAGTGACGGCATCGCTCAAAGTTAAAAATGCACAGCCTTGGGACAACCGGCGGTAAAATTACAATACAAGGTACTGCCGCCGATGAGAGATGAGCCTCGTAGTTCTAGACTACAACTCTGTTGGGTACCACCAGCAACGGCCAACTACACTCATTTACTAACTATCTATTCTTATATCTGTTGATTCATGAGGCTTCTTGTCTGAGCCCCTCACTTTTAGCTTCAGGCCGGTCCAGAGGACCTTGGCCGCAGCTGTCCGTGGATCAACGGAGCCCCCATCAACATCAACATGGCAGCGTCTGACAGAATGGCGCTGCCAGAAAAGGACGCCCTCGTACCCAGTCCAAATTTACAATGCCATCACCTTATGTCCGAGCCACCGTCGGGGCAGTTACCTGAGTCCAGTGCCTTCGGTTACGCGTCGTCAACCACGGCGACTCATAACTCTAGGAGGTACTCGGAACGGCAACGCTCGGATTCTGATCGCACGAAGGTCTCATACATGCCGAAGGTGTCTGAAGAGTCCGAATCTCGAGGCACTCGGCCCACCGGCCATGGCGCAGTTAGATCTCTTCCATGTAGGAAACTATCGGCTTTATTGACACACGATATGCTAACGGCTGCACAGCATGGATAGACTCTGTCGAGATATACAATGAAGAGGACGACTCTAAAGTTACCGACCGACTACTCGCGCAACCCACGCCTTCAGTCGCACCACAGCATCCCTACGCTACAACCAGAGCCGAGAGGCCCGTCTCCAAAGACGGCTTCGTCGACTTCGACGATCCCACCGAAGCCGCCAAATCCGCGCCCGAACGCACCCTCTTCGGGACCACGCGCGAGCCCGTCAGGGGCCGCAAATGGGACCACGCGCGCGACGACGACCCGGTGATCCTGCAGTACCATGGTGGCAACGCACAGCACTGGTCGGGCTTCGTGAAGGCTTCGATGTACGGGCCCGGGATAGGCGAGGAGAGCGAGACGGTCGAGGCGACGTTCCTCGACGAGCAAACACCCGGATATGCACAGCCGTGGCGGGGGGACGCGCCAGGAACAGACCCGGAAAAGGCAATTGGCTTGCTCCATAGCAAGAAGAAGCGCCTGCAGTGGTACGAGCGCATCCAGCGCATCATCCTGATGCATCCGCTCGTTCCGCTCGCCTTCCGCCTCACCGTCCTCGCGACTTCGACTATTGCTCTCGGCCTCTCCAGTTCCATCTTCCATCTTACGCGCACGAGCCCGTTCAATCAATCGCCCTCGGGCATCATGGCCATTGTGGTCGATGTTATCGCATTGCCGTATATTGGGTACATCACGTGGGACGAGTATACAGGCGCCCCGCTCGGGTTGCGTAAGCCGAAAACCAAAATGCGCCTCGTGCTACTGGATCTCTTCTTTATCATCTTCGAGTCTGCGAATCTCTCTCTTGCGTTCCAGGCTATCACCGATCGCGACGGCGCATGCTCTACGAAAACGGGCGAAGAAAACGCGCATAATAAGGATACGAATCTGTGTGGACAGGTGAAGACGTTGGCGGCAATATTGTTTATAGCGCTGGTGGCATGGGGATTGACGTTTACAGTTAGCATTCTCAGGTAAAATATTTCACGACGTCCTATAATGTTCTCAGAAGCTAACATAGCCGCAGGTTGGTGCAACGCGTTGGCGGGCGCGACGAGAAGGATTGAACATACAGCCATTTAAGGTGCTATTTTTTTGGGGCATGTTAGAAACTACTCAGTGCATGGAGTACCAGCAATTTCCTTTTGTTTTTCGTCGGCACGGCGTTCGTTGCATGGTTGGCTGGATGGAGGGGAGGCGGGGAGAAGTGCGACACATCTGGGATGGTTGAAACCATTTACTGGGGCAGCGTCTGTGTAAAGATTTCTTGGACGAAATTATGCCCGATATCATAATCATTATATTCTTCATACTCATGGGAAGTTACCCGGAGACGCCGTCTGTGATTGAGCATTTGGGCCGGATAGTGGATGGAGCGAGAGGCTGGGGATCTCTCAGGAAGTAATCATGTATATACAAACATGGCTTTTATATCCACAATCTATAGCACTGTATATACTACAAGTTTTTTTTTCTTCAGACTCTCCAAATCGCATCCGCCATCTTCACAACCTGCCCCATCCCCACCGCATCGTGCACCCGCACGATATCCGCACCCCCCTGCACAGCCGCCACCACCGTAGCTGCTGTCCCCCACACTCTCTCCCTCGCCTCCTTCACGCCCGTGATTCGACCCACAAAGCGCTTCCGTGAGCTGCCAACCAGCCACGGGAAGCCGCGCAGGCCAGGCCAGTCGCGTAGCTCGCCCAGCCTTCGTAGAATCTCGAGGTTCTGGTCCTGCGTCTTTGCGAACCCGATGCCGGGGTCGAGGATGATGCGCCAGCGGCGCACGCCTGCTGCCTCAGCGGCTGCAACGCGATCGAGCAGCTCGGCCGCGATGGTGGGGATGAGACCGTTGGGGTAGGTGGCTAGGGAGTCCATGGTGGAAGGTGTGCCGCGCATGTGCATTAGGCAGACTGTGCAGCCGAGGCGGCCGAGGGTGGGAAGCATGGCGGGGTCGAGGAGGCCTGCTGAAACGTCATTGATGAGGTCGGCGCCGGCGGCGATGGCAGCTGAGGCGACGGGGGCGCGGAAGGTGTCGATACTGATTGTGACGTTGGAGCCGAGGGGGTGTGCACGAATAGCGGCTATGGCGGGGAGAATGCGGGAGGTTTCGAGGTCGGCGGTGACAGAGGGGGTGTTGGGAGCGGTGGATTGGCCGCCGATGTCGATGATGGATGCACCACCGCGGATGAAGGTGTCGATTGTTTCGTCCAAGGAGGCGCTGGTGTGAAGGCCGCCGTCGGAGAAGGAATCGGGTGTTAGATTGAGGATGGCCATTATGGAGGTTTGGCGATGTGGGCGGAGGGGATAGAGGGTTGAGGCTGTGTTAGAGCCAAGTGGCGTGCTGGTAGACATGGGTTGGGAAGACGACGGCAAGGCATTGAGGTAGTCCAACGTGATTTTCCAGGGTTTTGATGGATGGATGGGTTTGTCTGGGATGAGTCTGATATAGCTGATTAGACATTTTCTTGCCATGCAATGGGTTAAATATACTCAGCGAGGGGCCTGAGAACGAATTCGCGCTCAGGGATGCCAATGTGCGGGACATCGAGCCGCTTGTGGTGTATGACTTGATTATCGTACAAGAGGATATCCAAATCGATGTTGCGAGGTCCCTTGTCAATGACCTTGTGACGGCCCATGGAGTTTTCAATGTCTTGAAGCTCATCTAAGAGTTCAAGGGGCTCTAATGTAGTTTCTACCTGTGTACTGTCAGCTATATATTCTCATACAGACCTCGTTCTGTCCACGTGACACGATTTCCATAGCAACAACAAAAAAAAAAAAGCTTCTCACTAACCTCGCAGGCGCCATTGATGAAGTTATCTTGATCGAGGACGTACATGGGCTCTGTCTCCCACAGATTGCTCGTCCTTTTCACGGTAATGCCACGTGATGTAAGGGAATTGCAGGCCTGTTCGATCATCCCAATCCTATCCCCCATATTACTTCCTAGGGCGATGTAAGCCGTCTTTGGCGGCTTAGCGGCCCTCTTGGCTGCTGATTCCCCATTTCCGCTATTTGCACAGCTATCCGATGTCATTTGAGACCATGGCGTTGATGGAACGCTGCTCAGAGAGCCGCGGCTTCTTGTGGGCGACGCCGAGAGCGAGATCCGTCGAAAGCTGCTATTGCGTCGCAGGTGATGCGTGCTTGGTCTGCACGCAGAATTGGCGGCTGTACGAAACAGCTTCATTGACGCAGTCGCTGCCGAGATGCCGGGAAATTATATACATATAATATTTTTGTATAAACGGCCGTTGTTACATCGTTTTCGATGGAAAGAGAATCTCTTCCCCATAGGCCAGTTGATAGTTGATAGTGGATAATCCACTAATTGCTGCGTCACCCCGCGTTGACCCACACTACTGTTTTGGTGCCTAGCTAAATGCATGACTAATCACAAATATACCGAGGCATTTGCTCAAATTCGGCTCCAGCACTTTGCCACATGTTGTTGGCGCCCTTCCCCAGACTTATATTCCTCCCAATCCCCATCGCCCCTCTCCTTCTTCTACATACTGTTTAACTCTCGAGATCCCTTGATATCCTCGTCCCATATCACTTCAGCGCTTCTCTTCTCAACTCGCTCATACCAACCCAGCATTCACCATGGCTTCTCCTCGTACGTCATGGCCCTTTACCCCAAGTTTACCGATTCCCAAGTTTTCTTACTGACGGCCATCTACAGAACAACTCCGCACGGTCACCACCGACCTCCTCAAGATCAACCACCCGGTTATGCTTGCTGGTATGAACGTTGCCGCCGGCCCTGAGCTCGCTGCCGCCGTCACCAATGCTGGAGGCCTCGGTGTTCTCGGGGGAATTGGCTACACCCCAGACATGCTCCGCGAGCAAATCGCCGAGCTGAAGTCTTTCCTAAAGGACAAGAACGCACCATTCGGTGTTGACTTGCTCCTCCCCCAGGTTGGTGGCAGTGCCCGCAAGACCAAGTAAGCCCACCTTCGCATGCATAAGCGAGAGATATCACAGTAAGCAGCGTGCTGACGATTCTTAAAACAGCTACGATTACACCAAGGGAAAGCTTAACGAGCTCATTGAAATCATTATCGAGAGTGGCGCGAGGCTCTTCGTCTCAGCCGTCGGTGTCCCACCCAAGCACGTCGTTGACAGGCTCCACGCCGCCGGTATCCTGTACATGAACATGATCGGACACCCCAAGCACGTTAAGAAGTGCCTCGAGCTCGGCGTTGATCTCATCTGCGCGCAAGGTGGTGAGGGTGGTGGCCACACTGGTGATGTGCCAACCTCTATCCTCATCCCCTCTGTTGTCGAGCTCTGCAAGGGCAAGACCAGCCCCATGACCGGCCAGCCCGTCCAGGTTGTTGCTGCCGGCGGTATCTACAACGGCCAGAGTGTCGCCTCGGCGCTTATGCTCGGCGCCAGCGCCGTCTGGGTTGGTACCCGTTTCATCGTCACCGATGAGGCTGGTGCGTCGCAGGCTCACCAGGACGCCGTCACCACCTCAGGCTTCGACGACAACGTCCGCACCATCATCTTCACCGGCCGCCCCATGCGCGTCCGCAACAACCCATACATCACCAACTGGGAGGTGAACCGCGCACAGGAAATCAAGGACCTGACCTCCAAGGGTATAATCCCCGTCGAGGATGACTTCGAGAAGATGGGTGACGAGATTGATGACGAGACTATGGACAGCGCCCGCCCATTCTTGATGGGTAAGGCGGCTGCTGTTGTTAACGAGAAGAAGTCGGCAAAGGCTGTTGTGGACGAGCTCGTCGGTGATGCCGTGAAGTGGCTCCAGATCGGAAACAAGATGATTGCCAAGTTGTAGATTAAGAGAGGGGAATTGGGCGGTGGGGGTTGAAAAACATTTAACACCTGTACATGATATCTAGCATTATGAATTTTAGCAAGAAATACATACAATATTTCAAGGCTCTATGATTGGTTCATAAGAGTTATGTTATACCGTCACGTGGCTAATGCTTTTTTGGATTAACATGAGATTAGGCTCCATTGTTCGAACAGTCGGTGAGTTAGTGAAGTCATCACGAGGACTTAGTCTTAGATATCTGCATGCCAATGCTCTGCTAACAGCATGTTCAGCTTTCAAAATATCAAGCTACCATCATCTTTACCCTCAATCCCCTCATCCTTAATCATTCTCCGCGCTATGTCTCTCTTCCACCAGGTTCTCGGAGTTTATGTGCTGCCTAAGCTCCCTGCCGATCTCAGCCATATATGCACCCGCATATGTAGGCTCATGCTCAGATATGGATTTCTGAGATGCGGTTCGTCCTTGGTGTTCTCTCTACCCCCGCCCTTCCATTGCCATACAATAGCTAAGGCTTAGGATCCTCCCTGATCTTCCGGTGCGCATTTAACATCGTCGATTATCCAATTGACGATCATGGGGCTACCTCTAGATGCAGCAATCTTGTACTCCCCAGGAGCTCCCTTGGTGCAACTTATCCCAGTCTCGGACTTCGTCTTACCAAGATTGTTTAGCTGACGAATTGTACCTGCCGCTGGCTCGATAATCAAAACAAGTCTCACTTGGAGATAACTCGGATGAAATACGTGGCAGCTCGAACTGGACCATAATGCACAATGCCGAGATATTTCCCTTATCTGTTTAAGATGTTGCACCGGGATCGGGTTTCGAATATCCATAACGAGCTCCCAACATGCTGTAAGCGCTGGTTCTCGTGGATGGAGTCCCAGATCCTGACGTATGACCCAGTACGTGATCATCAGCAGATGAGCACGACATGCAGGACCGTGAGCTTCGTCCTTGCCTGCAAGATCCCCTCCGTTCCCTCGGCCAAATAGTCAGTATATATACCGCCTCCAAGTTCCATTTCTCATTTCTCATCTCACGAATCATTCTTCACCTTCCAACAAATACCTTCCGTATATCATAAAATGGTCGCCCAAGTTCTTTCTTCCCCTGCCCCTCTGGGCCTGTCCTCCCTTCGGCGGTAGAAGCTCCCACTCTCTCCCAGAAGCTTCTGTCCCTCCGCCACGTCCTCAGCTCTGGCGCTTCCATTAATGAAGCCAAGGAACCAGGCTTCAAAGTCCTGTCATCTGGCTGGAGCGATATCGGCCCCATCGTGGCTGGTGCTTTTATCAATGTTGCTACTGAGCAAGATGTTGTCGTCTCGGTAACCCCTCTTGAGTGTTGAACATGTAGCTAACACTTTTTAGATTACCTGGGCTACCATGAACTCTGTCCCTATCCAAGTCCGAGGCAGTGGCCACATGTGGATAAACTCGCTCCCCAGCTCAGGCGTAGTAATTAACACCCTCCCTCTCGCCTCCATCGCTATCGATGCTGCATCTGGCACCGCAACCATTGGCGCAGGGACTCTTGTCGGCGAGGCCACCGATGCAGCACACGCAGCAGACGTCCACCTCCCCCTCGCCGCTTGCCCATCGGTCACTGTCATCGGTCCACTCTTGGTGGGGGTCTTGGGACGTTCCAAGGCCTTTATGGTCTGGGCATTGACTCCCTTCCCTCCGCTCGCGTGGCTACTGCCGCTGGGAAGCTTCTGACTGTCACTTCGGAGTCGCACCAGGATCTCTTCTACGCGCTGCGCGGGGCTGGAAACTCATTTGTGGCCGTGACCGAGATCACGATGCGTGCTTACCCCAAGATCAACCGGGGGATCCACTTCTCGCGCGACCTATCCTTCGTGCCTTCTGAGGCAGTCGGCGAAGCAGTGAATGCGCTCCCTCGTATTCCGCACGCCAAGATGCAGCTTTACATGGTCTCACCGGCCCAACCTTTACTCCGACTCTCATCCTAAACATCTGGTACGCTGGCACTGCTGCTGAGGGATTGGAGCACTTCGCGCCCCTCTTTGCTCTGGGCCCAATCCAACAGATTGGATCAGCAGATGGCATGATCTCTGCGGACAGGCTCAATGAAAGTGTTGATGAACTGGCCGTCTTTGACGGGCTCAAGCAGCCGGAAGCGTGATGCTTAAAGATCTGGATGGCAAGGCTGTGAGAGCATGCTGGAACGACTATTCGTCCTTCGTCAAGGCTAACCCGAGTGCTAACGAAAGCGCGGTGGTCTTCCAGGTATATGATGTCACGAAGTTGCTCGAGCTCGAGTCTTTGGGAGGTGAGAGCGCATACCCCCACCGTCAGTCAGTTCGGGATTGTCGCGTCAGTGGTGGCGAAGTATGAGGATGCGCACCTCGATGCAGCGGCGTCGGAGTTCGTGGACGAGACTCTAGATCTACTCACCCCGAAGGAGGGAAAGAATGTTTACTGCAACATTTCACGCGGTGGAGAGACACTGGAGGAGCTGTTTGGCAGTGCGGAGAGGGTGGAGCGGTTGAGAGAGATCAAGAAGACATGGGATTCCGCGAATCAGTTCAAGGGATTTGCAAGCTTACTATAAGGATCAGAGAGTACGATTTTCCGCGTCGAAGATAGATCTTAAGATACAATTACTTCAAGGGCATTATTGCGAGTTGCCGCATTGCATTCATTCTGAGAATCCATTTCTACTTCAAATGAACTCCGTGATGAATTCTTCTCTGTGATAAACAGCCTCCCTAACAAACCCGTCACTACAACAAATTACCCTCCATAGTGAATTCATCCGAACAAACAAATGACCTCCCACGACGAATTAATCCTTATCACAAATAACCTTCCATAACGAATCCATCATTACCACAAGTGAGCCTCCGTAGCAAATCCATCACCATAACACAACTTGCAATGCCCCTCCCACTTAATTGGTAGCTGTGATCTGCGCCGCTGTCTTCAGAGCCCTTGGCGTCGTGTCCCCATGGAGACTGATGCGACTCAAGGCTCTGGTCAACGCATCCGCATGCTGCTGGTGGTCACCCCCTAACATGCTCAAACCCCCACCCCCAAATTCAGATCCATCTCCGAACTCAGACATCCTGCTGACGTTGGGCATCGGTGGGAGTCCTTCCTCCGGGCTGTGGTTGCCGGAGTGGCTGCCGCGGGAGATTGGCGTCATAGAGGCCTTGGTAGAGTTGCTGCCCTCGTTTGTGCCGATGCTGCTGGCCCCGGTGGACTTGGCTGGGGAAGTGGAGGGAGAGCTCTTTGCTGGGCTGGATGGAGTGCGGTTCTCCGTGTTGCCGGTGGAGGAGGATTGAGCCCACATATCTTCCTTGCGGGTGCGATTGGTGCTCATTGTGACTAGTTGATGTTGAGTTTCTATAACTTCATTTGGAGGGAAACGTCTATTTACCTTTGTAGTTGGAAGGTGGACTTTGAAGTTGGATTGGCGGTGATGACCGAGAGTGACCGACGAAAAGGTTGATAGGAATAGATCTTGTTAGACCTGATGGTGGTGGTGGTGATTGTGATAAAAGAGTGAATGGATAAAGGAAGGAGGGGTAAACAAACTAAGAAGGGGGGGCTTTTATAAAGACACGCCAATCGTATATTATTGAGGTGAGTCGACAAAGCAGCTTGCTCATCCCTCAGAATGAGAAATGAGAAATGGATAACAAAGACGTGAATCGACCACTGCGTCGAGGAATGACGAGAAGGACTATTACAGCGTATTCTAACATCTATAATAACTTCAATCCTATAGAGGTTATAAACTATTGCAATTATACGTGTTTGTTTAGTCCTTCTTTATTAGGTGATAGCCTATTCCAATGTAAATCGCACTGTAATTGCACTGTACCAACTCTAGTATCACATATGGGCCTTCTTCAGCCAACAGAATAACCAAATCTATAACTGATTGTATTCGTTTGTTCAATTCCACCAGAAGCTCACGCTGAAGCTAACACTCAAACTCCTCACATAGTGCCACCACCCCACGGGTATATACAAGAACTCCCCCTCCTCCAGAATCACATCCACATATCTCGCCTCCCCAAACGCCTTAAACCTCTCCCTATATCTCTCTCTCCTCACTCCTCTACTGACTGTTTCCGTCGCCGTCTCCATCTGCTCGTCCTCCTCCCCCTTCTCCGGCACCTCATCCCACCCCTCCCAAGCCCCAACATCAACCAAACTCGTATTCCCCATATCCACCCCCCCTTCCTCCCCTCTCGGCGCCAATCGAACCGTCTCCCGTGGCCCATAAAGCCGCACATACTTCCTCCCCACCACCTGTGCGAGGATATTATGATACGGGTCAACATGCAGCGGGCTGATCGTACCCGCCGGTCCGAACCACGCATTCAGCAGCGGGTCATCCAGCTTTGCGGTCGCAGCATGCACGGCTGCCATTGGCGAGGATAAATGAGGAGGTGAAGGATCGAGCCAGCAGACGTCGGGGATGAGGATGTCGGAGCGTAGGGAGGGGATTTGGGAGAAGAGGTTGTGTTGGGCTAGGTACCCTGTTTTTCGCCCTTCGTCTTGTTCTTGACTTATCACACCATCACCATTCTCATCCTTTTCTACTCGTCCGATAGTCGATGGTCGCATAACGAATTCCTCCAGGAAATCCTTGAACGGTATGATCCACTGTCCCCATCCGCCATCCACATAGCTCCTCCCGACCTCCACAGGCACAAGTCGACGCCCTCCCAGCGTTCTCTTCAGCAAATACTCTGGATTTGACCAGGGCCGCTCGCTCATCGCTGGCCAGTGGCCCATACCTCCCGTAAATACCACAGGGACGGGCCCCACGTCGGCGTCAGCCGGATTCGACATGAGCGCCCCCAAGGTGTAGCTGTCTGGCTCTTCCATTCGGGGAATTGGGTGCGAAACGGGTGGTGACAAGGAGGGCAAAGTTGGGAAACGATCCATCCCATCTCCTAGCCGCGAGTTTGCATTGCGAATCCTCGCCCGTTTGGCTGGCGGTTCGGAGGAATTTGTTTCAGGGGCCTCCTTTCTCGAATGCTCTTCCGCATCCAGTGTCGAATATTTTATTTCCAAGCCCTCTCCAGGCGACGCCTCTTCATCATGGCCCAACTCGCTCCCTTGGGCAATCACATCCTCCAAAATCTCAAATATCTTCTCAATCCACTCCCTCCTCCCCTCTCCCGGCGCACCACTCATAATAAGCACCATATCTAGCGTCTTAACCACCTCATCTATCCATCCCACTTCTCCACCCTCATCACCAGACACCCCAACTATCGCCGCCACAGCCCTCACAATCCCCACCTCACATACCATTCTCCTCCACGCCACGGGGACCTGATGGAAGGGATACACATATAGCTTCCCCCTCGCAGTCCGCTCTAGGTCCGCGAGCCGCTTCAGAAGCAGGGCACCACTATAACTTCCCACCGGCTTGAATAGAAGAGTCGTTTGACGCCTCAGCAAGGCAAGGAGGAGCGGAGGAAGCTCCAGGAGCTCATCCGAAAAGGGGGTGGTATCACGTGATGATGTTTCTTGTGTGGAGAGGTTGGAGTGGATGGTGGAGAGGATTTGGAGGGCATGGGAGCGGAGGTGTTCCATTGCGTGCAGGTTTTCTAAGTAAGGGAGGTCATTTCTTTACACGTATGGAGATGGGGATGGAGATGGGGATTCTGGCATAGTTTGGGAAAATGAGGTTGAAGAGTGGATGACTAAGCACGAGTATGTGTGAAGTTATCACATGACACTTTCTGTTTGTAACTACAGGAGACTCCTATTTGGTTTATTTTCATGGTTATAATTGTATTTCTCGATGATTCTACTATGTTGTACTCAGAGAGATTCATGGGAAGAGAGCGGAAGCGACTCCCGTTCACGCTCTTGCTGTGCTGCAGGTCTCATATTGGTTGATTCTCATGAGAAGCGGTGAACAATTGAGAAAAACTTGATGGGGTTTCAAATGAACTCTGGGAACATTTTAGAGGCAAGGGGAAATCATGAGTCGGGTCCTCAGAGCGACTACTCGAATGAAAGAGCGGTGAAGTAAACCCCATGATCATAGGACCAGGACAGCCAAGCTGAAAATAACTGCTAAACAATAGGAGGCAAACGTGAACAGCGGGATTCAGTAATCCCTCCCTCAAAGACAAAAGTCTCGGGGGCTTCGTGTCAAGGGGAATCTGTCAGGTTGGAAAATAAATGAGAACCACCACGTGGGGTGACCGGGAATTCGGCACGGAGAAAACTGGGCTGACAAAAGTTTCGAAATGACGGCTGCCTACACCGATGAGAGATGCAGCAAATAGATAATCAGAAATATATGAAGGTTTGCCCAAAATGACGATCAGGCTCTCGAGAAATGGCGATAAACGGCCCAAAGTGGTGATATCAAAGCTGCGCCAGCATGAAACTTGGCAGCTAGCCTAGAGGCATATCAAGAACCCCACGACCATGCGCGCTACGGCGGGAGACCGCTTCAAGCATTCCGCTGGTCATGCTGTACTCAGCTCCACCCCTTGCACAGCCGCCTCACGGAGCAAGGCCATCGTCGAGTCCACAGACCCCGTCTCTCCGTCTGCCAACACAGCACAGCTTAGGCAAACCATCCGGCTGACAGCCCCGCAAGCTCCCACCTATCACCGCCCCCTCCCCGATCCGATCCGAAGAGCGATGACCGAATCCCCCAATCCGGCCATCCGCCCCAAGGCACCCCCGCGAGCCGCACCCCCATTATGCGCCCCATGCAACGCAGACGCCGTGCTCGCGCGGCCAAACGGCCCCCTCCGGCCCCCATTACCACGTGGCCCGAAATACCCTTCCGCAGTAGGCGCAGTACAACCAACACCCTACAAAACCAAGCCCCTCCTTCCATCCTCCCCCCCAGTGCACAACACCGCTGCCTCCCCCCGGCCGAGGGGCCGATCGCTCGCACCTGACTACTTCTTGCTGCTGCCCGACCAACTCCTGGAGCCCCTGCCCCCCACCGGGCTGGCTGCGGTATTTTTGGCGGCTGCGTTCCCGGTTCCATGCAGTTGCCTTGGCCTGCACTCATGCAGCCGGGCTGCACGTCCTGCAGATTACGCGCGCCGGCCGAGGCAGAAGTGCGTGCGTAGTCGCAACGTTCGAAGCAGCGCGGTGGGCGCGAGCGACGGGGGATCACGCGTCGGGGCCGGCTAATGTGATGTGCTGTGCTGTGAGGTATACTATGGTAGAGAGCTCGTGGGAGTTACAGCGGCTGGGTGCCCAATGTCGCACCAGGGAGGCGGTCTGCCAATCGGAGGGCGCGGCACCAGAGGGCATGTGGTTACCGTGACGTGCAGTAGGAGGTAAGCGTTTGGGGCGAGGTGGATGTGGAGGATCGTCGGGTGAGGGGAGCGGAGGAGGAGGTTGTTCAGCCTTTTTTCGCCTCGTCTCTAGAGATGTATTTCCAGTTGTGATACTCATACTTGCCATGGCGGCAAATATGGATGAAGAGTACCGGATACGCTTGCGGTATCACTAGAAAGCAGCTTGGAGAGCTTAGAATCGTCAAGAACGGCGACAGATGCGCCATGACGGCTAAGGGCATCTTAAAAGCTTGACTAACGCTTAAGGTCTAGAAGCTTCTAGTTCTCCTACAATGATATTTGCCAGCTTACCCCTCTCCTCCGCCTCTACAATGTCTCTTGGTCAAGAGGCGTTCGGCCAACCCCTAAGTTGGCCTTGTATATCCTTTGTGTGCGGCTTGCCTTTCCTAGGAGATGGTCGACTCTCGAGAGGCTCTTTGTGTCATACTGACATTCGTTGCACTCAGTTTGCTATCAAACTCAAGAGCAAACTTGGAAATCTCCTCCTCAAACCTACAAGTCACTATACATATTTTGGCTTATCACACCAACAACAAGAGCAATACTACTCAACGATTGCTACAACCATCTATGATTCATTACACGTCATCGCTCCTTAGTTACTGGGCCGATATTACCACATAGCATATCTCTACAACCCTCTATGATTCATTACATGACATCACTCATACTACCACATGACATATCTCTACCAACTAGAGGCCTAGGAGCATGAACGATAGCTCTAAAAGCTCCTACGAACCTCTATGATTCATTACATGTCATCGCTCTTTAGTTACCCACAAGATTGGTTAAGTTATGACATAATTTGTCTATGACATAATTTGTCTATGACATAATTTGTCTATGACATAATTTGTCTATGACATAATTTGTCTATGACATAATTTGTCTATAGGGGTACTCTGACCTTGGACCTCCTTTTACTTCCTATAGGCTACGAACCTAAGAGATGGTTCTATGGGATTCTCTTACGTCGACTACAGCTACCAAGCCTGGTAAGTCATGGAAAGTCTTGGAAAATGAGAGAACTACATTCCTTTAGCATAAATAGGATTGCCCTTTCCTTAAGAAAGGGCAAGCAGACAATACAGTAAATCGACTATCACATACTTCCACGTCTTTTCCAAGCTTCCAAGCATTCGTCTTGTTACTCCTTGTTTCTGAAAAGTCAGTGAGGTGTTAACCTCTGACTTACCCCTGAGTTCCCAGACTCAACATTTGTTGCAACTTGTCTGAACCACTTCACTACATCACACACCTGATTGCTGCATTGTGGAATAGTCTAAGCTACGACCCTTTGGCTCTGTTTTCTAAGACAGTGTGTTGTCTTAGTAAATTCATCCCTTCCTTGGGTGGCTAGATTCTCACATCTGGTGCACCCACCATTACACCCCTATAGACAAATTATGTCATAACTTAACCAATATTGTGGGTAACTAAGGAGCGATGACGTGTAATGAATCATAGACGGCTGTAGAAGCTTTTGGAGCTATCGTTCATGTTCCTAGGCCTCTAGTTGATAGAGATATGTCATGTGTAGTATTAGCCCAGTAACTAAGGAGTGATGTCATGTAATGAATCATAGAGGGTTGTAGAGATATGCTATGTGGTCATATCAGCCCAGTAACTAAGGAGCAATGACGTGTAATGAATCATAGATGGTTGTAGCAATTGTTGAGTAGTATTGCTCTTGTTGTTGGTGTGATAAGCCAAAATATGTATAGTGACTTGTAGGTTTGAGGAGGAGATTTCCAAGTTTGCTCTTGAGTTTGATAGCAAACTGAGTGCAACGAATGTCAGTATGACATAATCCCCTACCTCCTCTGTTAAGTAAAACCTTTATATAAGAAACCTCTATATACCCTATTAGATAGGAAGTATCGTTACAATCTCTACTAACCTAGAAAATGTTAGTGAAGCTTGCCAACCGACTCCGTACTCACTAACTACTTACCTACTCGTGCGGCCCAAAAGTTTCCACAGGGTCTGTGTGTAATAAGTGGGGCGTGTAAGTACTTGGAGAAAATGCATGTACATACTCTACGTACTTGTACTGATCTACCCACGAAAGTTGTTCCCCCCATTGACTGCAATACACCGCTCCAACTTGTCCTTAAACGAAGCACATAATTGTGTAGATTTCCCATCCATTTTTTTCCCCCATTCTTCCTCAAGAAATACCCGTGCATGAGCTCTCTCAAACTTCCCTCCGTTTAATGGTGTATAGCCATCAACCTGATCCTTGAGATAATCAAAGGCATTTTCAATAGGGTGCAAATCGGGAGAGTTTGGAGGCCAAAATTTCACTCTATAGATTCCCTCCTTCTTCATATAATCTTCCAATGATCGGTGAGCCTTCAAATGAAGACTTACATTATCATCCACAAACCATACTCGTTTTGTAGGATGTAAAGCCTTTACTTTTCGAAAGTAGGGGAAGAGAAGAGGAATACGAACCATCTCTCGATATAGAAACCAATCAATCCCGCCCTTTGAAACTTCTTGCCCTTCTGATTGCCGTCCTCTACTCCATGTCTCTATATCTCCAAACTCTTGTGAAGCAACTCGTGCCTTTTTCCATTTGCTTTTGCCATTCCGAATATCTGCATTTAGAGTTTCCATATATCCGTACTCAAGAGTTCCAACTGTTGTTGCTCTAACAAGTTCATTCTCTGCTTTTGATTTCCAATATGCATTTATCTCTCGTAGTTTCTGCACATGTATCTGCTTCTCTTCTATACTTTCAGGAATCCATGAACGAGAAGGGCGTAAGATAGAGGTTTCTGAACTCATTGCTCCCCAAAACATAACTTGAAATAAAGATTTCTTCTGTTGAATTGCCATGCTCTCTGCTGTTTGACCCCGTTAAACTGTTATCCGTCGTTTCTTATGTGGATTCCCTCCGAAATTGATATATGATTCGTCTGAGAAAATAAAAATTGATCCAGCTTCAAGTTCGGATAGTGCCCATTTGCAGAATTTCCATCGTACTGAAGGAATGATATTATCCAAGTAGGGCTTGAGGCAGATGTTTTTCCGTACAATAGGTTGTGGAATTTCAACACTTGAGTGATTCTTTGCAACTCGTTCGACAATTGATCGTGCGTAGGGTAGATTTTCCTTATTAATAACTTGTTGAAAAGTGTCAAATGGATTTGCAAGTAGCAAAGATCGTATGCGTAGTGACTCTTCAGAATCCTTTTGAATTGTCTGTGGTCTTCCGCTTCGTGGCTTTGATTCGAGGTGTTGGAGAAGGTTGTGAATTTCAGTATTCCCTGCCCTTTTAACAGTTTGGTGCCATATATATGCAATAGAGTCAGCTGAGATTCCAAGCTTCTTTTCAATCTCTCCATATGATGCGTTCATGTATACACGCAAGGTAATAATTGCAGCACGTAGTGGTATTGAGATTTCAGCCATTGTTGAGCATTACTTCATTGCTTCATTCACTCTCATATTCTACGCGTGTACATTTTCTACGCGTGTACTCGGGTACAAGTACATGGTGCTTGATAGATTCCTACAATCTAATTGGCTGTTGTGCACAGACCCTGTGGAAACTTTTGGGCCGCACGAGTACCTCCCTCAAATCACGCCATCATAGTTATAGTCAGTTGACTCTCGACCTTAAAGCAGGGCACCTAGCACTTGTAGCATGCCTTCCTTCCTCTGCGGCCTCGTAGTGTCAACCACCCTATTGTCACGGTTCACCAAGGCATAGGGCGCCAGTTGGGTATTATGAATTAAACTCAATCTAGAGAAGAAAGGAAAGAGAAGAGGAGCACTCGAGCAGTGGCTCAATCTATATACAGCTATGTTGTTGTGGAGTGAATTCTCTTTAGCAAGACCAGTTCTGAGAATTCACTCCACAACTGAAAACTTCGCTCCAACCCCGGAAAGCTCCCCACACCCCTGAACCCCCACTCGAGCTGCAAGGCGCACTTGATATCGTAACACTACCCCCCCCCTACTCCAGAGTTGATCTCCTGATCAAGAAATCCCATTTTCAAAAAAAAAAACAATTGTCTCCAGCTCTGATTTTGGTTTCTGAGGGTATTTTCTGTGATATGCTTGGGTAACTTCTGGAGAATTTTCAAAGCTCTCTGCAGTATACCATGTCTCATCCGGTGGATAGTTCTTCCAAGCTGCCTTGTAGAAAAGCTTCTTTCGAATAACTTTTGAGTCGAGGATTTCGTCCACTTCCCACTCCTCTTCGCCATTGACAATGACTGGAGGCTCTGGTTCCTGTTGCTGCCCTTCGATTGCATCATTCGAGTCAAGTCTTAATAGATTGGCATGAAATACTGGATGAATCTTCATGCTGTTTGGAAGTTTGAGCCGATATGCAACTTGCCCAATTCGCTCTAGAATTTCAAAAGGTCCCACTTGCTTGTGGTCTAGCTTCTTTGATGGCCTCTGTGTCTTTATATTTCGAGTTGAAAGCCATACTCTGTCTCCCACTTGATAGCGTGGTGCAGGTTTCCTTTTCTTGTTCGCGAAATGTTCCATTTTTGCTTGCGAGAGCGTGATTTCATCCTGCAGAAACTCCCAAACCTTTGCCATGGTCTGAGCTATGTTCTTGTGCTCTTGTTTGGCTTCGTGATATGCTTGCTGCTCTGTATCGAAGCTCATTCTTGGTTCATAGCCCTTGTTCGCAAAAAACGCACTTGTCTTGGTTGCATCTGATGGCAAACTGTTGGCAGCAAACTCTGCCATGCACAAGTATGAAACCCAATTGTCTTGAAGATAGTTCACATGAGCTCGCAAGTAGCGTTCGAGCTCTGCATTGAATCGCTCAGTCTGTCCATCTGTTTCTGGGTGGAAGGCAGTTGAAAGTTTGGCCGAAATTTTCCAAATTTTGCAGAGCAAACTTTAGACTTCTGCAATGAACTGAGGACCTCTGTCTGATATTATTGAGTTTGGTAGACCATGGTGCTTCCATACATGTAGAAGTAAGAGCTGTGCTGTAGCTTCTGCAGTAGTCCCTTCTTGCCCAGCGAAACACGGAATGAAATGTCTTTCTTTCGTCAACCTGCATGCAACAACCAAGATAGCATTGTTCCCTTCACAGAGTGGTAATCCTGTCACGAAATCCATTGATATATCCATCCATGGTCGACTGTCAATAGGGATTGGTTGTAGAAGTCCATTGTAGGAATCTCGAGATGGTTTCAATCTTCGACAACTATGGCAGTTTTTGATATATCGAATTATTGTTTTGTCCATGTTTGGCCAGTAATAGTGCTGTTTCATGACTCGCAGCATCTTTCCAGCTCCTGGATGTCCCATAGAAGGTTGTTCATGAACTTCTCTCAACAAGTCCACCTGAATGGTTTCTGGCACCCAAACTCGATTTTGATATTCTAGCATGCCGTTTTTGAGTTCGCAATAAGCCAATGCAATGTCTTTGCTTGTTCGATCACCATTCTCAAGCTTCTGTAGTGTAGCCTTGCAGAATTTGTCTTCCAGTTGAGACTTTTGGATTTTCTCAAGAATTGTCATTTCTCTGATATGAGTTTCCACTGGAGCTAGCTGAGCTGTTTGGCCTTGTTCTTTGAGTTTCTGAATGTCTGGATGTAGCCTCAAAGGTGGTAGCAACACCTGAAGCTGTTGCTTTTGTCGATCATCCTCATCATTGCCTTCTGGTCTGTCACCAGGCCTTCGAGTCAAAGCATCTGCTTTTCCATTTTGTTGCCCAGGCCTATAGATGATCTGGAAGTTGTATCGAGAGAGGAATTCAGCCCATCGAGCTTGTCTTCTTGTCAGCTTCTTGGTGGACATGAAGTATTCCAAGCTTTTGTGATCAGACAAGACTTGGACTGGAAAATCTGTCCCTTCAAGTTCTGGTCTCCATGCTTCGAAACATCTGATGATTGCAAGCAATTCCTTGTCATATATCTCGTAATTGCATTCTGCAGGTGCTAGCTTTTTTGAGAAGTATGCCACTGGATGTAGAACCCCTTGATCATCTTTTTGTGACAAGACTCCTGATGAGATGAAGTCTGAGGAATCTGCTTCGACATAGGCTGTCTTGTTTCTATCGAAATGCCTCAAGACAGGAGCTTCTGTGACTGTTTGTTTTAACAGCTCGAATGCAGTTTGGCATGCATGAGTCCATTCGAATATCTGATCCTTTCTGGTAAGGTTCACCAATGGCCTCATGATGCTGGAGTAATTTCGGATGAACCTTCGATAGAAATTGCAGAATCCAATGAAAGCTTGCATATCCCTGAGTGATTTTGGAATTCGCCATTCCAATATAGTAGAAACCTTTGCAGGGTCCATGCGAATGCCATTGACTCCCACGATGAGTCCTAGGAATTTGGTTTCTTGGACGAAAAACTCACATTTTGAGATATCTGCTTGCAGTCCAGCTTCCCGAAGCTTCTGTAGGACTTTCCTTATGTGCTCTGTATGCTCCGCTCGAGTAGCACTGTAGATAAGAATGTCATCCATGTATGCGGTGACGAATTGGTTGAGGTAATCCATGAGGGTTTCATTCATGTACCTCTGGAATGTTGCTGGACCATTTGTGAGTCCGAAGGGCATGACCTTGTATTTGTAGGATCCAAATCGAGTTCTGAATGTAGTGAGGTCTTCATCTTCTTCTGTCTGCATTCGAATTCGATTGAAGGCATGTCGAATGTCCAGTTTGGTAAGATATCTTGCTCCTATGACTTGGGCCAGCGTTTCATCAATGAGTGGTATGGGATATCGATCCTTTTTCGTTATGGCATTTAGCTTCCTGTAGTCAACACAGAATCGAAGACCACCACCTGGCTTTCTCACAAACATAATGGGTGAAGAGTATGGGGCTTTGCTTGCTTCAATGAACCCTTTTGGCAAGTGCTCGAAGACATATTCTTCGACCAAATCAAGTTCTTCCTTTGACATATTCCAGAGTGGTGCATATCCCAGCTTTGAATCACCTTCGAGTTCAATATGATGGTCTGAAGGTCGATGGGGAGGTAGCTTGTCTGCTGCCATTTTTGAAAAAACATCCAAAAATTCATGAAATTCCTTCGGAAGGATCAGTCGAGAGTCAATTTCTTTAGTTTTGGTCTTGTTCTTGTGCTCAATTATGTCCTTCATTGATATAGCAAAGACTTGAGCTCCTCTTTGCTTCATGAGCATTCGAAATGGTGCTGCGCCAATCATTGCTATGGTGCAAGGTTTTGGTTTTTCCACTTTCGGAGCAGGTTCCGGAGGAGGCATTTCTGTTGAATCTGCGCTTGGTAGGTTCGGTAGAATAGTAAATGATAATTCCGGTATCACGAGTAGGGCCCAATTGATCAGTAGTAAAATGCATATTCATTTAATCTAGCTACTCTAGCTACTCTATATACTGTAGAACTCTCCTCTGAGTCGCGGGTAAGCAAGTCCGTAGGCTTGACCGGAGTTTGCCCCCGAGTCTATTTCTCATGGTGCGGAGTGAGAACTCCGCCGCCTGATGCTTCGGGCATGGAGTGAGAATTCCACAATTTCTTTGGCTTTCTTCTTTGGCCTTTGTCTTTCGCTTTTAGATATAGGCTCTGTTTCGAGGGCTCGATCTGGTATAGAATGGTTGCAATAATCTCCAGTGAAGAGGACTTGATCATTGATGTCACGGGTAGGTTAAGAGGAGGTCAGTAGGAATGGGGAGCTGGTTGCGGTCCCACGTCGGAGACGTCCCGCTACGGTGCCTCTAGCGGCCTAAGGCTGCTAGGGGGGCCTTAGGGCCTTAGGCTGCTATTAGGCTGTTGTCGTGGCTCCGACTCGCAACCGAGACGGCGGGCGCCCGACTCCGGGGGAGTAGATAAAGTAGCTGAGCCCCCTACTAGGAAGGGCTCAGAGATTAGTTTGTTGAATACGATACTGGCTACTCGAACCTATGGTCTTAGCACGCTGTCTACCTAAACCCTTACATTCTAATCTCTCTTAATAACGGGAGGCAGCCCGCTACGACCCGGTTACGGCAACGCCCCTACTTTGCGATGGGCGCACCATTCGAAGGGGCCACGACGCGTTCGCGCTCCCAAAACCAGGACACTACGCAAACCCTCCGAGGTGACGACGAACCGGGGCCGCACTCGGGGTCGAGCCAGTTAGAAGACGAGGGGCACGCCCAACGCCAACTTAGTGCCAGTGAGGACCTCCACGGCGACCGGGATGGAAGCCCTGACGGATCGGAACTGTCATACTGACATTCGTTGCACTCAGTTTGCTATCAAACTCAAGAGCAAACTTAGAAATCTCCTCCTCAAACCTACAAGTCACCATACATATCTTGGCTTATCACACCAACAACAGAAGCAATACTACTCAACGATTGCTGCAAACTCTTCTACTACATCTGTTTATGCTACATACATCACGGCATATCATTTGAACACTCATTGAACAAGTTATTAAGAAAATCTCCTCCTTAAGGGGGTGGGCCAATACTACCACATGGCATATCTCTACCAACTAGAGGTCTAGGAACATGAACGATAGCTCTAGAAGCTTCTACAACCCTCTATGATTCATTACACGTCATCGCTCCTTAGTTACCCACAAGATTGGTTAAGTTATGACATAATTTATCTATAGGTACTCTGACCTTGGACCTCCTTTTCACTTCCTATAGGCTAGGAACCCAAGAGATGGTTCTATGGGATTCTCTTACATTCACTACATGATTAGCAAGCTAGTTGTGGGTCGCACTTGATTTCTAATACATTTACCAAGCCTGGTTAGTCATGGAAAGTCATGGAAAATGAGAGAACTACACTCCTTTGGCATAAATAGGATTGCCCTTTCCTTAAGAAAGGGCAAGCAAGCAATACAGTAAATCGACTAGCACATACTTCCCCGTCTTTTACAAGCTTCCAAGCATTCATCTTGTTACTCCTTGTTTCTGAAAAGTCAGTGAGGTGTTAACCTCTGACTTACCCCTGAGTTCCCAGACTCAACATTTGTTGCAACTTGTCTGAACAACTTCACTACATCACACACCTGATTGCTGCGTTGTGGAATAGTCTAAGCTACAACCCTTTGGCTCTGTTTCCTAAGACAGTGTGTTGTCTTAGTAAAATCATCCCTTCCTTGGGTGGCTAGATTCTCACATCTGGTGCACCCACCATTACAGGAACTCTCCACCCTAACTAGGGTCCCGTCCGACTGGGGTGACCGGGTGGACGAGGCCCGCCGCGAGGCCGACCATCTAGAATGCGAGGTGCGTGCCGCCCGGGCCCGGAAGCGAGCCACTGTGGAATCGCGGATCGCAGAACTGGAGGTCCAGGAGCAACGGAAGCGCGCGCTCCAACGGGAGCTGCGCGAACTACGGAAGGAGTGGACGCCGACGCGGGACCGGAAGTGGCGCGCAAGCAACGGCCACGACGGCTACGACCAAGGGGGAGCTTCCCTCGAGATAGGGAGCGTTGCCAGCGAGTCGGCGGCGAGCCACCCCCGAGGCCCCCACAGAGCGCCGAAGTTCCGCGACCTAGCAACCTTCCAGGGGAAGAGCCTGCGGGAGGCGCAGGTCTTCGCCGCTGGGGCAGACCGCCGGTTCCGTATCGATGCGAGGTCACAGTACCCCACGGACCAGAACAAGATCGACTACTGCGTCCTCGCCTTCGGACCGACGCCGGCAGCGAAGTGGGAGCGCCACGAGCGCCGCGAGGGGCTAGGGAACACCACCTGGGCGGAATTCAAGGAGTGGATAATGGATTCCATCATCGACCCCTCGAACCGCACGTTCGACGCCATAACGTCGTACAACGAGGCGAAGCAAGGCGAGACCCAATCGGCGGAAGATTTCGCAGCCCACCTCGACACTCTCGAGCTCGAGCTCCAGATCGAAGACGAGGAGCTCCGGAAGAACACCCTCTACGCAAAACTGCGGGAGGAGGTGCGGCGTGAGATCCTGCACAGCGACCAAACCCCCCCGAGTTACGGGAAGGGGAGGGCGACGAGACCACCTGGTTCGAATCGGCTACGTACCGGTACCGGTCCGACCCCGGCCAACGGGGGGAGGAACACGACGTGACCAAAGTCACCAACCACCAGCAGCCAGAATGAGGCGCAGGCACAGGCACAGGAGCGCAACGGGACGAAGACAGATCACGGGGGCAAGAACACTCGTATTATAAGCCCGAAGGCCAAACTAAACTACGCCGAAGGCGGCAGAGACAACAAACACGGGGGCCCGTAGGCAAGCCACGCACAAAACACCCCAGAACACCCACAACGCCCTAGACCATGCCACCGCCCAGAAAACAAACGCCCTAGGAGCAGGCGCAGCGACGGTGACGGGGGCAGCCCGATCGTCCACCCAGCAAGGGGCAGCACGAACGACCACCCAGCAGACCGTCACCGGCCTACCCCCGCTTCTTCCCCTTCCCCTTCCTCCCACCCGCAGCGAGAGCAGCCATGCTACGCTTCAAAGTGTTAGCAATCGGAGGAGCCGAAGGTCAAGGATGGGAGGAGGAAGGGGGAAAACGTACCTGCATCTGGCGGAGGACCACCAGCGTCTCCTCCGAGTTGCGGAGGAGGGCGGCGCTCGTCTCCGCCGCAGAAGGCGCCACAGAGACAGCCACGCGAACCTCCGCAGGGAGGGCGGCAGCAGCAGCCACGATGCGGGCGCGGAGGCCAATGCGGACGCCACCCACGGCAGCGCCGAAGTCCGACTGCAGCGCCAGCAGGTCCCGGACGGAGGCGGCGACGGCAGGAGGGATCTGCCCAAACTGAGCGTTAGCTAACGCTCCGCAGAAAAAGAACCCAAAAGGGAAACCAAAACAGAAGACCAAGACAAGAACCGGACCGGAGACTCACCGGGACGCACTTGTCCTTAAGACGAGTGCAGCGCGTGCACTTCGTCGAGGAGGCGGGGAAGACACACGAGAACTCCGGCGACTTTGCCAAATACTTCGCGCAGCGCAGGCAGCACACGCAAAGCAGCGCGCGGTGAGGGTCCCCGCCCTCGTCCGAGGACGAGTCGCCGTCGGAGGACGAGGACGAAGTCCCACCAGCCACCGAGCCCTCCTCAGGGGACTCGGCGCGCTTCCTCTTGCGGGAGGAGCGGCGCGGGGCAACATCTTCCTCCTCGGAGGTCTCCTCGACCGGAGACGTCGGGGAAACGACGGGCGAGACAGGAGCGGCAGGCGTAGTGGCGGAGGAGGTGGGAGTTACGGCGGGGGTCGGACCAGGGACGGACGGGAAACCGCCAGATTCTGCCAAACATGTTAGCCACGGCCCAAGAACCCATCACCTACCACAAAGAAGCCTAGGAAACACGACGAGAAACCAAAAGATGGAAGGAAAGGACTCACCAGAGCGCACGGGGGCGCGGAAGGAGAAACGGGGGGCCGGGACGGGGCGGGGAGGCGACCCGAACGCCACCCAGCCAGATGGAGCTCCAGAACGTTAGGAAACGCCCAAACGAGGAAACGAAAAAGGGGGCACTCCCTCATGGTGGCCGTGTGGCCGGCGACGGAACGGTTCTCTTGCGCCTTAAGGGCGCCGACGGTTTCAGTGCTCTCTTGAGAGCCAGACATGGTGGTGGTGGCGGGGGCAGCGGCGGAGTTAGATGAATTGGAAGGTTGAGGAAGGAGGGGGAGGAAGGTGTTTTGAGGCCGCTTACTCCTTTGTGTGGAGGGTAGGTCACGTGCGCAGGGACAACACGCGCCTACCGCGCGCCTTGAAACAAAGGTAGGTAGGCCAGTTCCGGCCTAGTGCCGTAGCGTCAAAGGCGCGCCCAATTCCGGCCTTAAAGCAGGCCTTGGAATAAAGGAAACGGAGGGATGGAGTAGCTAGGTCACGTGATGCTAAGTTCGGCTTCACGTACCGGGGGCGCAACGCCTATTAACGAGCCGCCCCCGAACCGACGGCGGGCCGCTAATGACCAACGCTGTTCCACCAAGGGCTGCCACCGAAGCAATGGCATGTCCGTAGGGCCCCGGACTCTAGAGGGGGGAGTGTTGTCACGGGTAGGTTAAGAGGAGGTCAGTAGGAAGGGGGAGCTGGTTGCGGTCCCGCGTCGGAGACGTCCCGCTACGGTGCCTCTAGCGGCCTAAGGCTGCTAGGGGGGCCTTAGGGCCTTAGGCTGCTATTAGGCTGTTGTCGTGGCTCCGACTCGTAACCGAGACGGCGGGGGCCCGACTCCGGGGGAGTAGATAAAGTAGCTGAGCCCCCTACTAGGAAGGGCTCAGAGATTAGTTTGTTGAATACGATACTGGCTACTCGAACCTACGGTCTTAGCACGCTGTCTACCTAAACCCTTACAATTGATCATATCGAGAACAACTCCATGTTGCTTCATCCAAGCTTTCCCGAGAATGATAGAATGTTTTCCCAGCGAAGTGATGAATAATGGACATAGGCTTTCCACATGCTCTCCCACTTGTAGTCGAGGATATATAGCATGTGTGATAGCAGGGGCAGCCTCTCCATTGAATCCTTCAACTTGTTTTGGCTTCACAAGTTCGACTGGGGCTATCCCTTCGATTTCACATATTCTTTCTGCATCAGCAGCATTAATGAAGTTTCCACCTGTGGCACCAGTATCGATCAATGCATGGACAATAGCTTTGTATTTTCCTATTCTACAAGTAGCTAAGAAAGGGGTGTCCGGATCAAAACTGGATCTCGAGGAAGAAGCTGCAATTCTGGCTGCACTGCCTCTAGTGATGACTTGTCTAGAGGCTATTCGTTTTCCGAATCGATGATAGACTCAGCTGTAGATACCTCATTCACTTGAGCTTTGAGCTTCTGGGGACAGTCTTGAGCTCGATGTCCATTTTGTCAGCATATGAAGCATTTCCCAAGTTTCATGAGCATTTCTTTTGCTGGATCTTGATGCGGTGGTCGATACAGCTTCTGCATCTTGTTTTGCATGTTCGAATCCATTGTAGGTTGAGGGATTGAAGTTCGAAGTGCCTGGCCCTGATTTTGAGTTTGGCCCATGTTGTTCGAAAATGACTTTGGCTTCCTTTTGTCTTCTTGTTCCTTGATCCGCTGAATGTTCTGGTCGATGAGCATGCATTTCTTTGCAAACTCGTGAAGTGTAGTAGCTCCAACTTCAGCCACTAAGGCTTTCTGCATCTGTTGGTTGACTTTGAAGCGCAAGTCATCCAGCAAAGTTTCTTCAGAGTAATCAAGCTCTGTCGTGAGCCTTTGGAACTCAGCCCAGAACACTGCAAAGGTGTTGTTTCTCTGATACAGCTTTCGATACTCAGTTTGAGCTGTGTGCCTTCGATCGGGATCACTGAAGACTTTTTCCAAAAGTTCGAGAATTTCTTCTGCTGTCTGCAATTTGTTTGTAGAGTTTGGTCGAAGCCTTGGATTGACATGTCGAACTGCCAGTCCTCCCAGTCGACTCTGAATGTAGCTCATTTGTAAAGTCTGTGTTGGAAAATGATCAATGTTGGCTTCGAGCTTGAGGCGAATTTTCACAACCCAGTCTTCAAATGCTGGCTCTATCCCATCTGTGAGGATTGGAGGGTCTGGAATCCGAGCTGACAGTCGACTGTGAGAGTGGTGTCCTGGTTCATTCTTCAGAGCTTGTTGGGTTTGCTTTTCAAGATATTTCTGAACTGTTTGTTGCTCTGTGATTTGTTGCTCGTTGCTCTGGATCAGTTCCTGTAACTGGAGAATGGCATCATCCTTTTCAGCCAGTATCGAATTTGAGTCCTCTGCTAGGGCCAAATAGTCCTGAAGAATGTTCTTGTGCAAAGTCCATGCCATTTTCTGGTTGGCGACAGATAGTTTCTGGAATTTGTCAAAGGTTTCAACATTCCATTCAGCCTTTTCATGTCGATTTGCAAGTATAGATTCATGTCTCTCTTGAGCTGTTTTGCCCAGAGTGTGAAGGAAGGTTTCGGATTTGAAATTAGGATCATGAAGTTCATTGGTTTGGTTTGCAGAGCTTGGAATTGATGCTCCTTCTGCCAGGGATTCCTGGTCTTGTTCTGGATCATTTCGAGCTGCCATTGCAGCTTTTTCTTCAGCTGTATAAGCCATAGCGAGTTGCTATTTCAATTTCGGTTTATATCGTCAAGTCAGAAACATATTGCCAAAGGCCCTATTGTGCAGTTGTTGGCCGTAGGAGCCACTTGAGAGGAGCGCACTTCCCTCACAGTTATATCCTTGTCGAGGGGGCGTTGTAAAAGGTCTGACTTGCGAAGGTGGTGTGTGTGTGTCGAGCTGACTGTCGAAAGCCAACTTTGAGGGGTTGCCTCGAGATCGTCCTGGAATCGACTTCAGGATAAGGTTTCTGGTTCTGGGGTTTTCAAAGAGTGGATTTCGATTTCGATTTTAGAAGAGGGTTCAGCTCAAAGAGCAGGAAAAGAGGTATAAGAGAGATTGAGTTTTATGTCACGGTTCACCAAGGCATAGGGCGCCAGTTGGGTATTATGAATTAAACTCAATCTAGAGAAGAAAGGAAAGAGAAGAGGAGCACTCGAGCAGTGGCTCAATCTATATACAGCTATGTTGTTGTGGAGTGAATTCTCTTTAGCGAGACCAGTTCTGAGAATTCACTCCACAACTGAAAACTTCGCTCCAACCCCGGAAAGCTCCCCACACCCCTGAACCCCCACTCAAGCTGCAAGGCGCACTTGATATCGTAACACCTATTAGCAGGGCTAGATGAGCCTCACTAGCTCTTACCTAAGCCTTGTATAAATGTTAAGTTCAAAAGTCATGTCCTATGCTAAAAAACGCACATTACATAAATATAATTATTCACTCTCAGCCCTCCTTATTCTTGTTCCCGCCTTTAAGTTTAATAACTATCTTGATATAGTAGGGTATTCTCTTAATCTACGCCTAGATTTGCAGCTATAGGACGTCTCCTAACAGCTCTCCTACGACTATATCCCTTATAGCTGGCTTTTTAGTGCCCCTTTTCATGTTGTTCTTCTCTTCATCTAAGACTATGCATTGTCTTACTTGTACAACAGTCTATAGCCGGTCTTTTCTACACTCTTCTATGGGAATAACTTTAGAAGGAGAATCTTCTGTTAGTAGCGATTCTATCCCGCCTCCTTTCTCTCGAGTTAATTTCCTGTTTTTTTGATTCCATCTCCACTATTTTTTGGTTCTAGTAAATTCTATAGTCCTATCCGTTAAATCCCGTTTGTAATTTCCTATTGCTTATGTATAATTGGCTCTATTTCCTTATTCATCTCTTGAATTTTTAATTTAGCTTCTTCTCTTTCTCGTTTGGTTTCTAGTATCTAACAGTAGCACGGCCCCTTATCGTATGAGAAACATGCCTAACACATGAACTTAGAGTATCCCTTCTACTGTTCTCGAATGCAAGATCGTAAAAATGCCTCTTCGACTTTCTGCCAAATCTAATATCCTCCCTATCGATGGTTTAAAACAACAGAAGTTTCATCAGACTTAAGTGTCTAATTTTCGTAGTTAAGGCACCGCTGTAGCTGTTGTTCTCTCATTCTCTTCGTTAATCTAGGCTTCCTCGTCGATTTCGTTTTCTGATATCCTGCTATTTTCAAGATTTGCCATATAGTAGTAGTTGAAGAAATATCGAAACATTGATACTACGTTCCCCTACAATATAGCACAAGTTTTCTCACGGCCATATCTATCTCTACGGGTTCGTAACATCACCATTTTATGCAAGGCTTGGCACTACTAGCTCGGACACGACTTTTGAACTCGACCTCCGTACGACCTTCGACGTCACAGCGCGCGCGGCGGCGGCTTCTCGTCGCTCGTCCCCCCAGCTCAGCTCTTCACGACGTTTCAGATCGCGCCAAGCCGTTTGGGGAAGGGGCGGCGCGGCGTTGTGGTTGGTTGGCCTGGCATCCAGCTTGGATGTTTGTTGGACTATGTTAGTTCGCCGCGGAGGTGGCAGAAAGCTTCCGGGAGGCGATCGGGTCGGGGGACTTTGGACCCACGAGCCGGGGCGCGAGGCGGGATGGGTAATGGGTTACTTTGCCACCTCAGATTACACATATTACACATGCGGGGGGGTTGGACGCGGACTGGATTGAGGCGGTGAGCAAAAGTTGGAAAGTTATTCAGGGAAGTGGGAAATGAGCGAGGCGAGCAGGGCTGGTGCCGCGTCCCGGTGGCAATCACTGCACTCCATCAGCCCCCTTTCCCAGATCCCTCCCAATTCTGCAGCGGCAATCAGTCAGTCTCGTCTCAGCTCATGTCATTACCTCTCCCACCCCCCCGCAGAGCGAACATGGGAAGCTGAAAGGACCTGGGGCATTGCTAATAGTCTGACGCCACCACATACGTAGCTGGGCGCACTGCTCATCACCCTCCATTGGGGGCTCCATTGGGAGGGGGGATGTGGTATGGTGGTATTTTCCGAGATCTGGGGACTACCAGGGGGGCGGGGCCAATGTGTCGTGTCCGCACTGTGCATTAGGGACCCTGTATACATATATGCATGGAAGCATTCGTCGAGCTCCTTTTCCCATGGCTGCAATTGGACGCGCGCACAAGGCAGCTGAGGTGCGAGGGTATATGTAATACCATATAGATGCCGGTATGGTATATATCCAACAAATTCCACTCTTGGTTGATTAATGCAACTACTGTAATGCAATTACTCGTACGGGGTACACGGCACACACACAGGCAGGGGCGGACCCTCGATTTTTTATTGTGGCCAACTGCAAATAGCCCCAGTAGTCCAATAGTGCGCCGCGATGCGCGTCCATGCCTTATTATGTTACTTCGGCCAAGCTAACTCACTCTTGCCCTACTAGCTTGGTCCCGGCAGTGAGTTGGACAGACTGGGCTAGTATGGATCGGCATGCAATGTTACCAGTGACCACGCACCTGGACTGCCAAGAGACGTGTAGTATCCGTGCCTGTATCCCTATTCCATCTGGTCTTTTGTGTGGTAGCAGTCGTATCCCAGACTTCTCAGGGGATCGCTGGGGGAAGGATCGTGACAAATGCGCTGTTGGAGAGGGGAGGAACTGTTGCCTTGGGGTGGGGGTCATCCCTGCGTTACATCTCCTGCGCTGATGGCCATGAGAAGGGGGATCTCCTCATCTCCCGGCGGGGTGATGGCCAGCCGGAGAATCGGGAGGCTCCCTGAGTTTGCTATACTACATCACCTTCCGTCTGCGCTCCGGCTCCAGGACGTTGGGTGAGCGCCACATGATCTGCTGCATGCCAACCGTTGACGCCGGGGCCTGCACAGAGCTGACGATTCAACCCGGTCGCGTCTCTGGTCGTACATCACATATCATATTTCCCAACAACGAGCAGGGCCAGGAAGAGATCACGCTGAGCTCGCTCAGGCGGAGTTGTCCGAGAGCCCCCATCAGTTGGGGCTCTTGGCATACGTAGGCCGCGGTGGTGGCCAGCGAGTCGCCTTGCTCCTTCCAAAACGCTGTCATATTACACTGCCGTGGGCCAACACCTAGTACTGGTCGCAAAACAAACGCCAGCAGGGGGGAATTGAGACATACGGGGCCGACATCCACGCCGGCCACTGGCTGGGCATGTATCGGTGACATACTGAGTCGTATCAAAGTTGGGTAGCGCGATGCGATACCCAAAGTTGAGATGAGACCCAAATCAATTGGAGACATGATTTGGGGGGGATGGGGGATCCGCTTCGATAGAAGCCCCGCTTTCTTCATGCGCCGCGGCCCCCAACAAACAACATGTCGCCCCGGTCCTTGTCTGCCACGCTCCGTAAGGATATGTGATCTGGAATTTGCTAGAGCACTGGGACCTGGAGGCGCCACTCTTCAAGGCTTATCCCCTTATGCAGTGCAGTATCATGTTGTGCAGCGGTATCATTTTGTGCAGAACTGGATTTTTCTTTCTTTCCCTTCCCACTGGCTGACCCCTTAGCATAGGACGGGGAACGGGGGCGGCGGCATTCCCTATCCAGCCCAGCCGAAACTGATATCCGTATGCGCGTGCACAGCATCACATCCATCTGATCTTCTGCCTTATGACTGACCTGTTTGTTGGCTTTCTCAGCGCGGGCAAACGGATGATAGGCGCGGCTAGGGGAAAATTAAAACCTGGTTACTCGTTGATTCCCTTCAGCCCTTGGGTCCCAACAAGCGTCAGCTGATGGAGGGAGTCTGTACTTCTGCTGGGCCGTTCAGTGCTGGCTCATAGAGGAGTTGGATTGGGTTATTTCTGGGGATACGAGTTCAGTATGGTACAACAAGGAAAGAGAGAAGCTGACAGGAAGTCACATGGGCGCCTTCCTTCCCACCTGGTTACTGTTTTCTGGCCATTGGAAGGAGGAAGGAATCTCATAGCACGGAAGGACATCACGAACGCTGTGACACCGCTGGGGAGTTACTCGAGTAGTGATGTTAGAGTGGTGGTGTGTGTTAGTAGTGTTAGTGGTGTTAGTGATGTTAGGGGTGTTAGGGGTGTTTAGTGTTGTGAGTTTAGTACAGACGATACAGGGGATACAGACGATACAGGGGATACGTCACCGGCGAAACCTTCACATCCCACAGTAATGTCACATCTCCACCAACGCACCAACCCAACTCATGTACCTCACTAAGTCTGTCTTGTGTATACATATGCATCAGAGTTCAATGCGCTATCCTCTAGTAGCATGCATGCTGGCCGTATAGTGGGGGTTTCTATGGGTATCCTACATAATTCTACGTACGGGTAGAATCTTTCAACTCAGCCACTCATTTTCACTTAAATGCTACTTACTAACTTCTCCACCCCAGTAACAGACAAGTCGCTGATCTCAATCCCTGGTCAAAAAACCGAAGAAAATGAGGAAAGAAAGTGCTGTCGTCCGGTCAGGGCTTCCTCCTCTACCCCCTCTACCCCCTCTACCCCCTCTATCCCCTCTATCCCCTCTACCCCCTCTACCCCCTCTACCCCCTCTACCCCCTCTACCCCCTCTACCCCCTCTACCCCCTCTACCCCCTCTACCCCCTCTACCCCCTCTACCCCCTCTACCCCCTCTACCCCCCACCTTCTTCACCCTCAGAATAGCCCCCAGGGAGGAACGATACTAACAGAGTGAGTGATCCCGGCCGTCACATCCGCTCGGAACGCCCTACCAGCTGAGCTCACCGCGTTCCCACCCCCATTGCCTGTCTGCCTGTCTGCCTGTCTCCTGCCTCCTGCTGGCCTCCACTCCCATCCGCTCCTCCCTCCACCGCAATGTCCGCCCCGACATCACTAGACCTGGTGATTATTTCCCATTGGCGATGGGCACTGTCACACATCCATGTTGACACCGCCTGCACGGCCCCGGGGGTAACCAGCCGGCAGGGACACCCCGTTCTCAGTCACAAAATGTGGCCCTTGTTTCCCCGATAAGATGACATCCATTTCCACCTCAACCCTTTTTTTTTTATTTGTGACCACGCATGGCGATTGATCTTCATACTCTCCAAGATTCTCCAGCTTTCTCAAACCCCGCCATCCACCTTTCATCTTACTTGCGCCCGGCATACTGCCCATGACTGAGACAGTCAGGATCTACTGACGATCTCCTGCATGGTTCGAGTGCTCATCTGGGAAGACAAGCCTTTATAATCGCCCCATATAGCAAACACCAGCCCTATATGAAAGTCGCCTTCCTCCGCACAGATACACATTCATCAACTAGCCATTCATTACCTCTCGCCACTCTTCGTCTAGTTCACATTCACACCTTCCCTTCATATCCCAGGAGTAGACCTCTCTAGATTGATCCTCAACACCGTCATCGTATTTCTCACATGAAGACAATGATGGACTCAAAGCGGCCAGGCACGATGGGAGCCTCCAAACCCTTCCCCGCGAAACAGCTGTTCATTCTCAGTAAGTCTTCAGAAATGGTGCTTCAATGGCCTACGCGGGCTTTTTGCCTAGACGCCCTTGCAATGAGATAGCTAACATGCTCAACAGGTCTCTGTCGGATATGTGAACCGATAGCCTTCATGTCGATTTTCCCCTACATCTACGCCATGATCGAGTCCTTCGGGTTTGACCATAAAGACCCAACCATTTCCATGTACGCCGGGGTGGTAACAGCCGCCTTTACCTTCGCGGAATTCTCGTCGGGCATGCTTTGGGGGAAGCTCAGTGACCGGATTGGTCGGAAGCCAGTACTTTTGACGGGTCTTGCGGGGACAGGACTGAGCATGCTGGTCTTCGGATTCGCCCCAAATATCTACGTAGCGATTATTGCAAGGGCATTGGGTGGTCTACTGAACGGGTAAGATACTCGTAATCCTGTCCTTCCTCCAAATTCTAACATATATGTGGCAGAAATATAGGAGTCTTGCAAACTACGGTGGCAGAATTGGCTACCGTGAAGGAGCATCAGCGTCAGTACCGGTTCGCTAATATGTCATTCTCACCATGCTAACTTGCCGACAGCCCGTGCGTACTCTATCATGCCATTTGTCTGGAGTCTAGGGTAAGTTTTCAGAATCCATACTTCTTGGACGCGCTAATTCTGAAACACAGATCGATCTTGGGGCCTGTTCTTGGTGGTGCGCTCGCAGAGCCATGCAAACACTATCCTAGCCGATTCCCACCAGGAACCATCTTCGAGCGATTTCCATTCCTCTTGCCCAACCTTTTCTGCACGTCGGTGGTGGTACTCGGCGTCTTGGTTGGATTCTTCTTTCTTGAAGAGACGCATCACGAGAAAAAGTACGAAAGAGACGTCGGCTTGGAGATGGGCAGACGCATCTTCGGGGCCTTTCAACGAACAGAGGACGTGAACGACCTTAAATCCGAGAAGAGCATGGCGTTAATGTCGGAGACCGAGTTATTGATTGACGACTTCGAGCAATTTCCATGGTATCAAAGCACCGAAGGATCACCGCAGATCCCGGTCACAACTCAGCCAGAGATTTTAGACATCATAAGCCTCGATAGCAACGACTCAGAGCCGGAAAAAGAAGTCCCGTTGAAGCCGTTCACGAAACAGATTATCCTCAACATTGCTGGTTACGGGGTTCTAGCTTAGTAAGTCCACAGCACTGCCCCGTGAACGTTCAAGGCTAACCATGATAGCCACACCATAACCTTTGACCAACTGCTCCCCGTCCTCCTTGCCCACCCCGAAACAAAAGATACTGTGATTAGTCTACCCTTCAAATTCCTTGGCGGCTGGGCAATGAACACCAAAGATATCGGTTTTATACTAATGGCACAAGGCGCTTACTCCATGTTTGCGACCATCGTCCTCTTCCCCTACGCAGTCAAACGCCTGGGACCTCTCAACCTCTTCAAACTCGTCGCCTTCTCCTACCCCATCCTCTACATCGCAACGCCCTACGTCATTCTCCTCCCCGAACCCTACCGCCTCGTCGGCCTCATCCCGCTGCTCGCCTGGAAAACCACATTCGCCAACTTCGCCTTCCCAGCCATGAACATCCTGCTCGCCAACACAGCACCCTCTCTTCTCCTCCTCGGCACCATTAACGGCGCCGCCTCATCGACAGCGAGTTTCTGCCGCGGCCTCGGACCCATCATTTCCGGTTCGCTGTACTCCCTTGGTTTCCAAGTCGGGTACTTCGGCATCGTATGGTGGTTCACGGCACTTATTTCCATGGCGGGCGCCGCGATCGCAATGAGGATGTCAGAAAAGGGCTTTCGCAAAGACGTGGAGGACGTGGTTGCCGACGAAGAAGACGCCGTCGTATGATAGATCCGCCCTATGATATCATAGACCCCATCGGGCCTGGCAGAGGCTACCGATGCCGCCAGCTTGGGTAGCGCTTTTTATGACGAGTTATGAGATTCTTTTATCTGATTGTCGTCGGATTTTTTTTAGAGGCGATAGCTGCAGCTGCATTTTTGCGCGCGCGCCCGTTCGCAGATTGGCGATTTGTTTTGTACTTTTTTGTGCGCTTTCTATATACCATTGATATGTTTTTTTGGGGGCGCGATGATGATGACCCAAGAGCGCAGAGCTTTTTTTCTCATTTTTGGGATGGGATGGGTGGGGGTGGGGAATATTATGACAGGGTATCATGGATACGGCGTATGCAGGCATGGGATGAGACAGACCCGCGAGACTGGAGCCGGGTGGGGGATGGGAGAATGGGAATTTTATGAATTATGCTATGGCTATATGGCTGTCTGCAGGGAGTTTGTGCTGGCGTTGGGGCAGGGGGTGAATAGGATGCGAGATTAGGATCCTGTCGTTCATAATAGATATGTTAGATGGAATGGTCGCAAGACTGGGTTCTTTTACACAAGGATGTGCTGTGTCTTCATGCCTGTGCTTGTACTTGTGGCCGTGTATGTGTGTGAGTGGTGGGAGTTGTGTGGTTATTATATTTCCTTATTTGTTGCTGATTTTTTTTATGGTTGGAGATTTGATAATTAATCGAATTATGCGTGGTGACAAGTAATAATGGGTGGGATGTCGCGTGAGATATTTTGTGCACCGGACAGCGACGAGGATCACATCTTTCCGAGTGTTGGGAATGTGTTCTTAGTTGGTATTTAGGGGGATTATTTTTTGATGCTAATCTCTCAGTGACGGGAGATGGTTTTGGGATGTTGTTTCTCATCTCATAGCTTGAGTCCTAATACTCAATTTCTTCAGATCTATCTTCTCTTCGTCGAAGAGTGCTTGTTAGTTATAATTTTTTGCTCATCTTTCACGGGTTTTGCCTGCTTTCTCTTTTGCGTTAAGATTTCGCCTCTTGCTTTCCGATCTCGCCCCCTCTGATATATCTTACGCACTTCTTCTGATTATCCGATCTCTCCTGCTTTTCCCCTCTTCTTACTTTCCGATCTGTCCACTTTCTTCTTTCTTCTTCCACACTCTGCTCAACATACTTCTGGGCAAACTCCGACTCTACTCCTTCAAACTCTTCCACCACCTCATCTACCATAAACTGGCCTTGCTACGTCGGCGCTACACTCATCATCTTCTCACTCGTCGGTGCACAAATTCACAAAGAGACCCAGTCCTTGTCTAGATCCAACCCTCACTCACATTTTAAGGTATGAACAAATATAGCTTAAAATGGGATCGACCACTAATGGATTATCGGAAATTAAAAAGCCTAGGCTTGAGGTTGAAGATAGTCAAGACTATGATATTCGCCGATAAGTACTGGATCGACGAGTTGGACGACCGAGCCTTGTCGCTTTTGATTCGCTGCGACAGCGCTATAACTCGATATGAAGAGATGGAGATAGTCACTTCTTACGTGGTTAAAAATTCTCCGCTGGCCTGTAATGTGCGGCCCTACTTGGCCTACATGTGGGCATGAGATAATGCAGAGCGGCAGTTTCTACAAACATGACCATAGCCACTCTCACTACGACTCCTTCATATCTGATCCTCACTTTGTTTCCCAGGTTTTCAGCACGATGGCGACTGGATGATTCAATCACTCTTTCATCATGAAGCAGATCCGGCCATGTGATTTTCACATCCATGAGCTAGCAACTGCATGCCCATACTCAAATATTGATGGGTTCACTGGCGTGTGGTGAATATATTACAGAGCCAACAGAGCGTAGGAGGTCGTCTTTACAGACCACAAAGATGATGTCTCTAAATATACCTTCAGAAACACAACTCCATGTCTGTTGTGCCAGATCCGCTTCAAACGTTTTGGCATACAGCCCATATTTTTGGAACCTAGTCCAAGTATGAAACTCATCACGGAATGTGCCAGGTAGACCTCTCTGCGGAACTGAAACAGTTCTCGCCCACAATTTTGCAATGGGCATTATTATGGAGGCACTCAAAGCGATCTACTACTCCTGCGATATTCAGCCGCTGGAGAAGTTCACTCGAGCCACAACTTTGTACTGCAAGATACGCGGGAAATCCTTTACCAGAACAAATTCCAGCTTTTTTATTCCAATTTTACGCCATTCCAAACGGTCATGATTTGACGATTTCACGATTTCCATTATTACGGAGCATGGAGGGGGGATTTAATACTTTTCAAATATTTTCACTTGAAGGATTGATTTTTACCGAGGTTATGCGGGAAAGTCTTTCACTAAACAATATTCATTTTTTTTTTCATTTCAATTACACGGCACTCCAGACACATATGCTCTGGAAATGAGAGATCAGAAGTCACACTTTCAATCAAGACGACTGCAGTGGCTAAACCAGGTCATCCAACCCACGACGACAACGTCAATGGCCAGTTTCTCACTTCGTTCTCGACAGCATCAGTTTTCAAAATGGCATGGTTCTTCACGGTTGTCTTGCAGCGAGGAATTTTCCAACAACATTCCAGCTCTCCGACTTTGCATCTTTGTATTTGGGAAGGGAACTACTCAACTTGCAGTGGACATGGTTCAGTATATCCAAATAGGGGATGGATACTTATGACAGACAATGGACTTGAGTTATGAAATATATTTACTCCCTAAAATATTCTTTCACCATGAAATCATATATGCATGCAATTACGGATTTTGAAAGAATTGCGTTTTAGTCCGACAGTGTTATGAATATCTCTAATCTAAAGTGTATGATAGTTGTTTCTATCTCTGCATACGCCAAAAACATCATCGGGGCCCACAATATAGCCACTCACTCGAAGTCCTGTAGCTTGCCTATGAATCAATTTCCCGCCACGCTCCCATCATGCAGGTCGCTCAATATCATCCGCCCCCGATGAATCCCTCTATTTCTTCTCAGCCACCTCCCTAATCTCCTCCCCCGGCCCACTACTCTTCACCCCATCCACATCCTCATCCACCCCCTCCTCCCCCCACGGCCCACTACTCTTCACCCCCTCCACATCCTCATCCACCCCCTCCACATCCTCATCCACTCCCTCCTCCCCCTCCCCACTCCCCACACTACTCGCCTTACTCACATCCGCCGTCTCCGCCGTCTCGGTCCTCAACCCCAACTCCCTCCCCTTTCCCCGCACCCCCTTCCAATCCGCCGCCCTCATCTCAGGAACCTCACTCTCCACCCCCGGCTCAACCACCTCCCTCCCCCCACGATCCGCAAACCTCCACACCACCGCCACGCGATCCAGCGCCTTCGTCCCCTTCCTCAACGACCCCTTAATCCCATCCATCTTCTCCCACTCAATCTCAAACACGCCGTCCTGGTCCGGCTTCCCGCCCTGCTCGGGACCATTGCCTTCGAAGAACGGGTTGAACCACACGTGCGCCACGGAGGTCACCATCGTCATCCCGTAGCGCGCGCGGTGCCGCCGCTCGAAATCAATATTGATGTCGCAGCTCGGCAGGATCAGCGGCGAGGAGGGGCGGAAAATGACGGCCTGTCCGCCAGCTTCGGATTCGGGATCGGGTTCCTTGCCCGTCGCGGCGCGCTGGATAGCAGCTGATGCGGACTCTTTTTCGGATTTGGCAGCGAGTCCGATTTTCGGAGCCAGCGCAGCGGGCTTGTCGACGCTGGGACTGCTGTTGTTGTTGTTGTTGGAAGCCGGCTCGCTAGCGGTACTCGTTGGTTCGTTCTCGTTGCTGTATGTGCCGTTGAGGGCAATGGTGCGGCCTTTGGAGGGGGCGGCGGGGGCGGGATTCGCCATGTCGATGACCCAGTCTTTGAAGCCTGAGCCGCTGGGTGGGCCTCCCTCGACTACGAGTCTCTCTTCCTTACTGAAGATATGCGCTGACTCAATCTTCTTGCCTTCTTCGGTGTAGATCTCGATGCCGACTTTGACGCCCTCGCGTAGGCCCCAGGTGTGGACTTCAATGATCTCGACTAGGCGCTCGGTGTATTTCTTGCCGCCTGCCGTCCAGCGAGACACGTAGTCTACGTAGCGTAGTTGCGAGGGGATCGATACGCCCTGCCCGAAGCCGGAGCGCATGCGTCGCTCTGTGAAGCGTACGAGTGCCTCGGCCTTGCTCAATCCGCACTCGGAGATGAGGTAGGAGCAAACCATTGTGCCGCTGCGGCCTTTACCAGCCTTGCAGTGCACGACTACCACGCGGCCATTGCCCGACTTCTTGTCTAGCTTTTCCGCTGCCTTGGTATCATCTTTCTCCGCTTGTTCCGTGGCTTCCTTGCTCGCTCCTTCGGCTGCACTGTCCGTAGCTATATTCGCCTTGCTCTCCTTCTTACCGCCCTCAGTGAGCCAGTTCCGCATACTCGCCATAACCAGCGGCACAATCGCAAACGGCGGGGGATGGTGATCGGGAAACGGATAATGGCGGACCTTTTCCCTCACCTCCTTATCCGGGTACCCCGTCCCCTCGGCCCTGAACTCCCAGATGCACCAGTCCTCGCCATGGCTCTTGTCGAGGAAGGCGACGAGCTTGTCGAGGGGGTTGCGGTATGCGAGTTGTGGGTATGTGCCTGAGGGGCCGGAGGTGGCTATTATGAATGGCGTCACATAGCATAAGTCGAGGTTGGAGTCGGCGTGTCGCGCGCGCGGGCCTGCGATGATTTGGCGCAGGAGGGAGGCCATTTTGTGGGGGGTGTCCGACGTGCGATTGCGGATCTAAATAGCGAATGGGTCGATGTCTTATTGAACCATTATGGTCATATAGAAGCAATTCGTAGTTCTGTTTAGAGAGGCAGCTGGGTGTTGTATATATATATGTTTATAAGATGTTTATATCCAGGGCCAAGAAAGTTTGGCCAGGCTGGAAGTTGATCTTTTGACTGTCGTCATTGCTGGAGGATTCGGGCGATAAGGCTGAACGAGGCTGTGGCCCCTCTTGACGATTTAAGGGGGACACAGGCGTGGGTAATATAAAGGGAAATCCATGAAAATTATGAAAATTATGAAAATTATGAAAATTATGGTTGCAGCAGTCAGAAAGGCGTCTGGTGAAAGGAAGCTGTAGATATATCATTTCTTTATTTACCTTTATACTGTTTATGGGGGGTCAGGATGATTTTTAGACACAGATTGCCAACTCCGGCACTTGTTGGGAAGATTACGCTGTGGGATCTACGTAAGACGATTCTATTTTTATTAGGAGAAGCGACAAATCGAGACACAGCCACCATTACCAAGCCCGCATCCAAAACATTGAAACTTCAAATACCTCCCCTTGTCTCCCTCCTCTTCATCATCACTCCTCTTCATCATCACTCCTCTCCATCTCTGTACTCCTCATCACTACGACAACTTCTGACTGACGTCGTAACAAAACACACATCTCTCTCAGCATCACCACCAGCATCACCACCAGCATCACCACCACAACCACCACCACAACCATCAACCCTCCCCTCTCCAAAATGACAGACAAACCCTCCGGCGCACCACCCCCTTACGGCGGCTCGCCCTATCCTCCCCAACCCGCCCACCTCAACCCCGGCCCCGACGGCGGCGGCGGCTACTACGGCTCTCCCTCACCACAACCCCAATACGCCTCCCCCCAACCCCAATACGGCGCCCCGGCCCAGGGCTACTACCAGAGCGGCCCGCCCCCGCAGATGGGATACCAGCACCAGGGTCCACCAATGGGCTACCAACAGGGGCCGCCGATGGGATACCAGCAGAATCCGCAGCAAGATGATCGCGGAAACTCGAGTGGTGCGGCTGGTGGCTGCTTAGGTGCTCTGTGCGCTGCGATGGCTTGCTGTTGCTGCTTGGATATTCTGTTCTAAGACGATGTTTGATGGGGTGGGGTTTACCTGATAAAGACGGCGTTTACGGATATTGCGGAATTTCGATGGATTAGAAGCCGGGCTCAAGACGGGGGGATGGACGATGGACGATGGACGATGGACGATGGACGATGGACGATGGACGATGGACGATGGACGATGGACGATGGACGATGGACGATGGACGATGGACGATGGACGATGGACGATGGACGATGGACGATGGACGATGGACGATGGACGATGGACGATGGACGATGGACGATGGACGATGGACGATGGACGATGGACGATGGACGATGGACGATGGACGATGGACGATGGACGATGGACGATGGACGATGGACGATGGACGATGGACGATGGACGATGGACGATGGAGAATCTGTACAGTTAAACTGCGCGTCTTGCTCTTTGATTGTTATTATTAAGGCATTGTATAGACCCATGAGAGAGATTTGAGACTTGTTGGTGAATTCCTAATTAGGCAAGTGTTCTGCCGTAGAGCGTTCTTCTGCAGAGGTTCTCCTACTATTCACATTCGTCACTGTTTACACTCAAAGTCTGTATATACTCGACACTGCATGCACAAGACACTGAACACTCGACACTGAACACTCGACACTGAACACTCGACACTGAACACTCGACACTGAACACTCGACACTGAACACTCGACACTGAACACTCGACGCCTTCTCAACAAAGACAACACCTCCCAAACCCTCTGTACAAAACGATATCTTTTAATTCCGCTATATGCCTAAATATTTCAACACAACCCCTCTACACCTTATCAATCCTCTGCACCACAATCGCCGTCGCCGCACCACCTCCATTACAGATAGCCGCAACCCCATACTCCCCCACCTTCAACTGATGCAACAACGTAACAATAATCCTACTCCCCGAGCTCCCCAACGCATGCCCCAACGAAATCGCCCCCCCCAGCTCATTCACCCTCTTCTCCTCCAACCCCAACAGCTTCTCATTCGCCTTAATCACCGCCGCGAACGCCTCATTAAACTCCCACACCGCCACCTGATCCATCGTGATCCCCGCCCGCTCCAGCGCAATCGGCACCGCTTTCGCCGGCGCAACCGGGAAATCAACAGGATCGATCGCCGCATCCGCCGTGCCGCAGATGCGCGCCAGCACGCGCGATCCGACGCCGTACTCGCGCGCGATCGCCGCGTTGCCGAGGACGAGGGCCGAGGCGCCGTCGTTGAAGGTCGAGGAGTTGGCGGCGGTTACGGTGCCGGTGCCGTCGCGGACGAAGGCGGGCTTGAGGGTCGCTATCTTCTCGGGCTTGATGTCGAGGTACCCCTCGTCGGTGTCGATGATGATGTCGCCCTTGCGGCCGGTGACGGTGACGGGAGCGATCTCCTCCTTGAAGGCGGAGGCCTTCCAGGCGTCCTGTGCGCGCTGGTAGGATTGCACGGCATACTCGTCCTGTTGCTCGCGGGTGATGTTGTATTTCTTCGCGGTGGTCTCGGCGCAGACGCCCATGTGGAATTGGTTGTAGACGTCCCAGAGGCCATCTTCGATCAGGCCATCTTTGATATGCTGGTTGCCGAAGGCGGGCTGCGAGCTGGCGCGGGGGAGGTAAGAGGGCACGCGCGACATGTTCTCCATGCCGCCTGCGATCTGGGCCTCGGCGAGACCGAGCTGGATGTTCTGGGCGGCGAAGACGACGGCTTTCATGCCGGAGGCGCAGACTTTGTTGATTGTGACGGCTTCGACGGAGGTGGGGAGGCCGGCGAAGATGGCGGCTTGACGGGCGGGGGCTTGGCCGACGCCGGCTTGGAGGACGTTGCCCATGTAGACGTCGGTGATTTTTGAGACGGGGACTTTGGACTTCTCGAGGGCGGATTTGATTGCTACAGCTCCGAGCTTAGGTGCTGGGACTGTGAGGAAGGAGCCATTGAACTGCTGATGTTAGCATGTGAGAGCCAAGGGAAAGGTGATAACGTCGATGAGAGCTTAAAGAAGGAAATGATATATGCTTACCTTTGCGGTTGGTGTCCTCGAAGCACTGATAATGTATGCATCTTGGATCTCTTGCCTCGCGGCTCCGCTGGTGCTGAAGTGCCTCGACACCTGAGCAACGCGCTGGCCGGAAGCCTGTAGAGAAGACATGGCCATGCGTAGTGACATGACGAGAGCTATGAGACGTAATCTTCCGGGGAATATATATACTAAGGGATGAGGGGTAAGAGAAAGAGAGGTAGAGATTCAATTGTCCCGGCTGGCAGGAGTGAATTGAATCTGATCTGCAACTTCTCCAATTCGGATTACGTCGGGCCAACGTCGCTCGGTAATTGGGTCCAGAAGTATCGGTACAAATAATATGTGCCGTACAGTGTAAAAAGAAAGACTTTATAAGTATAGGTACAATACACTAAAGTCGAGGAGCGGGGCGGAGCGGGGCGGAATAAGCTCCCCCCCAAATCCCTAATCGCTAATCACCACGTGAACCAGGGTTAGAAAATCAATTATAATCATGATTATTTACGTAACGTAGTTCACAAGCGACCCGTCATCCCAAGCGACCCGTCATATTTTTCTTAGTATCGTACATTTGACTTTATAACTAAATAACTTTTTTTTTAAACATGACACATTCGTACGAAGAAAGAAATATGATTCTTGCACTTCAAGTGCTTCAACGAATCCACAATTACAACTTAGTCGCGTTGCTCGAATCTACAGAGTTCCTCGTACGACATTGAACGATCGAAGAGCCGGAATTGTCGCAAAGTATAATACTTTACCAAAGTCTCGAAAATTGACAATATTAGAAGAAGAAGTTGTCGTACAACATATTCTTGAGTTAGATTCACGAGCATTTCCTCCTCGACGCAGTGCTGTTGAAGATATGGCAAATCGATTGCTCGCTGAACGTAACGGCGGACGCGTCAGAAAGAACTGGACCTTGAACTTCGTACGACGACAACCACAACTCTGTACGCGTTTCAATCGAAAGATCAACTATCAGCAAGTTCAATGCGAAGATCCTAACACATATAACGCGTGGTTTCGACTCGTACGAAACATGATTGACAAATATGGGATTCATGAGGAGGACATATACAACTTTGACGAAAAATATCATCTGAGATGGTTGTAACAAATGCTGAATGAAAGAGCAGACCTCGTACGACACAGCAAGGCAACAGGGAATGGATTACAGTGATTCAAGGCATCGGATATGCGCTGCCGCCATTTATTATTGTTGCAGGGAAAAACCACCTTTCGTCTTGGTATGAAAACACTTCTTTGCCGCTAGATTGGGTCATTGCTGTTACGTCAAATGGCTGGACAATAAATGAGCGAGGGCTAGATTGGATTAAACATTTCGATCAACATACAAGGAGTCATACAAAAGGCGTATATCGACTTTTGATTCTTGATGGGCACGAAAGCCATCATTCAGCTGATTTTATTGTTTATTGCAAGGATCAAAACATTATTATTCTTTGCATGCCACCACATTTGTCATGACACTCCTTCGATATTTGTGTCACAACCCTTCGATTCGCTTTAGTCTCTAGTACTTATTTCACTATGTCATTCACTTCACCTGCTTCGCTCACTTCGCTTCACTTGCTGACCTAGATCAGCCCAAATGTTGACTACTGGCTTAGGCTCTCTTGTTTGCTGCACTAGGGCTCGCTTAGCTAGGGTTCGGTTAATTAGTGCCTTCGCTTATTTGGCACTAGGGATTTTTACTGTTATATAAGCACTTATTGCTCATGTCTCTTATTGATCTTTAGCTAGCAAATTATATACTACTTGGCCTTCTTGCAATTCCTCCTGCTTCGACTTACTTTGCATTCCCTTACTTCGAGTCTCACCACTTGGCCAACCTGTTAGTCTCACCACTTGACCCCTGTGGTATAAAGTATATGCTTTGGAGCCTGAACTACTATACCTTGTCCTACTGCTTCGAGTATCGAAGTCTTCACATTATACTTCGGATACTTCTGCAGACTTGAAGGTCAGCCTCGGTTCGAACTGTCCTTACAAAAAGGTGCAGCAAGTGCAATACACGAATTGATGTTATTACAAGAAGAAAACACTGCACTGTTACGACGGAACAAGAAGGCTGGCCAACTACAGGACAGGAAGGAGGGAGGTCGCATGAGACCGGCCCTGGTACTGGAGGGGCAGCGGGGAATAGTAGTTCCGAAAGTATCACGTGACGGACTCGCAGGATGATGAGAAGAGTCCTAAGAGTCCAGGACTCCGAGGACTCGAGTGAGTTCCCAGGAGTCCACTAGGCACGTGATGGACTCGCAGGATGATGAGAAGAGTCCTAAGAGTCCAGGACTCCAAGGACTCGAGTGAGTTCCCAAGAGTCCACTAGGCACGACGCCACTATATAAGTAGATAGTATTTCCTTAGATAGGAGCTTCGTGCTCAACTCAATACAGTATTTGTTATATACTAGTAACGTGTTACTTGAAGCCTTTGTGTCTGATCCCCTGCCTCCTCTGATAAGTAAACCTTTACGCAAGAGAACCTCTGTGTCTTCTATCGTTTAGAAGTCAGCGTTACACTTTGAGCACCACTTCTACGAGGTACCGGCTTACACACAAAGCAACATGTCTGTCGTCAGTTCGAAGGGGAAAACCCCCACCACGCCAACTTCGTCTCAGAGGTCTAAGCCTGAGAATGAAGAGATGCCCGATGCACCCACCGTCAACGAACTCAAGGAAACTCTACGCGTCAAGTTGCCCGACACTTACTCCGGCAACCGAAAGGAACTTGAGGTGTTTTTGCTACAGGTCGAACTGTACCAGCACTTCAATGACGAGAAGTTTCCCACCCAGGAGAGCTATGCCCTGTGGACTGCGTCCTACCTTAGGGGGGAAGCCCTGCGATGGATCGAACCATTCCTCAAGGACTATTTCAAATATGAAAGTACCAATGGAAGCATGACAACTACGCAGACTATGTTTGGCAGCTGGAATGGATTCTGTAAGGAAATCCGACGCATGTTCGGAGACATCGATGAGATTAAGACCGCGGAAGACCATCTGTTTGCACTTAAGCAGACTGGCAGCGCCCTCACATACTCCACAGAATTCCAGAGATACGGCAATCAGACAGGATGGGACGCCAGCGCACTCATCAGCCACTACCGACGTGGGCTGAAGAGCCATATACGTATGGAACTTGCCCGTTTGGAACAACAACCAACGGACATGGTAGCGCTAATCGAACATACGGTCCGAATCGACAATCGACTATATGAATTCCAGAAGGAACGTCGGACCTATGACAAGCCCAAGAAAAGTTACCCCTACCGGGGAAACGAGGGCAGACGACGGGATCAACACCCGCGAGACAACCGTTGGGCGGACCCAATGGAACTCGATGCCACGTTCAAACCTGGACGACCCCGTGACCCTAAGAAAGACAGACAATTCAAGGAACGACTCTGTTTTAACTGCGACAAGCCAGGCCACATGGCCCGAGACTGCAGACAGCCAAAGAAAGGGAACGGCGGACGCAAAGTCGGCAAACAACTCAATGCCACCTGGACAGGACAGTTGAACGCAACGTTTGTGAGCAAACAGGACTGGGGAATAAACGGCGAAAGCACCCCAGAAGACGAGAGCTCAGATGAAGGGTCGGAGGCGGAATCGTTCACCGTCTCGGAACAGGAGACCTTCGACGAACTCGCACCTACGGAACCAATAAGTCCACGGTGCAAGAGCGTAGTAAGACGCATGGCAAAACACGCCCACGCGAAGATTAGGGCCGAACGAGACAAGCCCAGCGGCCAGAGGAGAATCCCCACGCTTAAGGGCATCTACGGGAACCTGTTACAGGAACTTCCGTTAAAGTGCAAGGTGGACGACTGCAAGGATGACCTCTGGAGATACTACGACCAACTAACGAATACCCGCAGGCTGCTTGGCACGTCCCAAGACGTAGCTAAGTTGGAAGCCCAAGAAGCGGAAGAACTGGAGAAGGATGTCGAGCATATGGCTAAACTGAAGTATATGAAAAGCGTCGAACTTTACTACCAGGACCGCAGGAGAGCCCTGAAGAAGTACGACGAGAAAGCCAGAGATATGCTCCGACGGGAAAATGCGAGACCCACTCCACGCATCGAAAGGAGAGCCATGGAGCAACTAGACACGTTCTCCACGCCTCCGAGGGAAGATAGTGCATGGGTGAGAGGACAGCGGGAACTATCAATGACAGACGCAACAGAGACTGATCATCCCTGGCACGCGTATGTCTACTGGGAGTATTGCAGCGAAGATGACTGCAAGCTCCACTGGAAAAAGAAACACCAGAATCAGTTGTTTCCCCGATCCTCGCCCAGGATACACTTCAGAGACGCAGAGCAAGTTCACGCCCTCAGGCGAAGCCAGTCTGAAGGGGACTTGCCTATCAAAAGCGAACAGGTATACGAGAAATACCCACATCTGCTAGACGAAGCAGAAGAGCGAGGGAAACGATCTCCCCAAGGACCACCATTGGAAGCGGATGAATACTATCCTTCCTCGGACGAGTCAAAAAACTAGGAGTCCTCGACGGTAGGCCACCGGCGAGCGACACGAAGAGGCCTAGTACAGACCAGCTATGCGCCACGACGGGCAGCATGCAACTATATGTGGTCGCTAAGATACAACAGCGACACCTCCGAGCAATGATTGACTCAGGAGCGACGGGCAACTTTATGACAAAGAAAGTAGCAGACACGCAAGGTTTCAAGACGCAATTGAAAACCGAACCATACCCGTTAATGGTCGTAGATGGAGAGCCCATCTCGACTAATGAAGGAATGGTGACCCACGAAACGGTCCCATTGGAAATGGTCATGCTACACGGGCACAAGGAAACGATTCAGTTTGACATCGTGCACATGGACAACCATGCGTGCATCCTTGGTGTGCCATGGCTCAAGAAACACAACCCCCAGATCGACTGGTGGAACGAGAAAGTTGTGATGAGCCAGTGCGCGTGTGAACAACGGACGGACACGCGACAATGGGAGAAACCCTCCCAGGGCTGGAAGGAGTTATGTGCAACCTCCGAGCTCGATGACCTAGCCCAGGCATCCTCACCGACGAGTATACCGGTGGAGTACAAGGAATACGAGCAATTATTCCAGGAAGGCCCTAAGAACGAGGCGCTTCCTAAGCACCAACCATGGGATCACGAGATACCTTTGGAGAAAGACAAGAGTCCACCGTTCGGACCAATATATCAGCTATCAGAAAAAGAGCTAAAGGTACTCAAGGAGTACATTGATGATAACCTAGCAAAAGGATTCATCAAACCATCCACATCACCCGCAGGAAG